CGGGAGCGGCCACTGCACTCCAGTCTGGGCGACAGAGTGAGACTCCAACTCAAAAAAACAAAACAAAACAAAAAAACCCACATATCTGATAAAGGATTGTTATTCAAAGCATACAATGAACTCTTAAAACTCAACAATAGAAAAAAACCCTAACACAAAATAGCCAAAGTCCTTAATAGACATCTCAGCAAAGAATATATACAGATCATAAATAAGCATATGAAAAGATGGTCACATTTTATGTCTTCAAGGAAATGTAAATTAAACAATATGAGACACCACTACAAAGCTATTAGAATGGCTAAAATTCAGAACATTGACAACAGGAACTCTCATTCATTGCTGATAGGAATATAAAATGGTATAGCTACTTTGGAAGGCATTTTGGCAGTTGGCTTTATTCATAATTGCCCAAACTTGGAAGCAATCAAGATGTTCCTCAGTAAGTGAATACATAAAACCATGATATATCCAGACGATGGAATCTTATTCAACACTAAAAAGAACTGAGCTATCAAGCCATGAAAAGACATGGAGGAAACTTAAACATACATTATTAAGTGAAGGAAGCCCATGTGAAAAGGTCACATACTGTGTAATTCAACTATATGGCATTCTGGAAAAGGCAAAACTGTGGAGACAATAAAAAAATCAGTGGTTGCCAGGGGGGAATAGACAAGGAGGAATGAATAAGGGAAGCACAGTTGATTTTTTAAGGCAGTAGAACTACTCCGTATTATACTGGAATGGTGGAGAATGATGTGTCAATGAAGGTTCCTCAGTTGTAAAAATGTACCATTCTAGTAGGGAATTTTGATAATAGGGGAAGCTAAGCATGGGAGGGGGTCTGGTAGTATTTGGGAAGTCGAAATACTTTGTTGTGAACCTAAAACTGCCTAAAAAATAAAGTCTATTAAAAAAATAACTTACAGTGGTTTGACTCTTTTGCTCTCTCTGGTTTGGTTACAGTCCCGGGCTACGGGAAATATTGATGACAACTATGAACTGATATTCCACTGCCATTTATACACTTGGTTGTTTCTAATTCAAGAACCTCTCAACAGTGTATCAGGAACTAAGGGCATCCGTGGAGCCGGTAGGAGATTGGGTTTTGTTTGGAAACCACTATTTTCTAACATGCGAAGAACTTCAGCTTGGCTAGCGGCTTGTCTGACATAGTCCCCACCCCACCAAGGGCACTGAGGATGGCCTCTGCACGACTGGTAGGAGTAACTGTGGAATAAGTAGTCTGAAGTCGTTGTAAATAAAACCTAGTAAATAAGAAGAAAGAGACGTAGGTACCACGAGAGGACCATTATAGAGTTTAATTTAAAATGCTATTATTCGACGTGTGTACTTTCTTTCCTAACATCGAGGACTCGAGAACGGGAGGGAAAGATGAGAACACCAAGGGGCACAGGCTGAGTTCCGTGGCTTCCTTATTGATCTCCGAGAAACCGAGATTTCCTCAAGCGCACTAATGTGCATGGCTCATAGGGCTGTGATACAAAGATAGCAAATAAAAAGTGGTTAGCGTGTTGCCTGGGGCAGGATATGATCTCCATATACGTCAGCCAATACAATTGCATTCACTCATGGGCTATGGGGCCTTGATGAGCTACGCCATCCCTGCCCTCCGAAAGCTCTTAAACCAGGTGAGACGCACAAATAGTCTGGAAACTGCATTCCCACAACAGCCTAGCGCAGAGCACCCTGGCCAGCCCCTGCACGTCCTCTCGCGCAGCTCCAGGTTCGTCCGCTGTAGCCCCGCCCCGGCACCACCCAGGCCCCGCCCCGCTCAGCCCCGCCCCTTCCGCCGCCCGCGCCCGGAGCGTGCACGCACCCAGACGCCTTGCGGGAGCGAGCGCGTCCGGGAACCCGGGGCCGGAGGAGGGCAGCGGGTTAGGAGACCCGTGTCTACGGTTCAGGTGAGGGCGGGCGGGGGCGACGAAAGGGTTAAAATGCTGTGGGGGAGCGGAGGGAGGGGGCATTTGGGTCTCCGAGGTCGCTACCTCCGTAGGCATGGGACGGCGGAATGGGGCGTGGGAGCAGGGCGGCCCAGGTGGGTGGGGGTTAGGGTTAGGCTCGATATGGGGGAGGGGCAAGGGCGAGAGGCGCAGTTCAGAGGGGCGGGAGCCGGGCGTGGACCCCTGGTAGGGTCATAGAGAGGGAATTTGCTTCAGAGGCGAAGGGTTTGGGGTAAGCGGTTGCTCCGGAAGGAGCCAGGGGTTTAGCTTCTGCACTGGGGAGGGTCCAGGAGGGAAAGTTAGCCCAGGTGTAGTCGAAATGCCGGTGGGAGAGACTTCCTGGTCTATTCAGAGGTCCAGGACGCCCCAAGACTTAGAAATCCCAGGCTTCCGGGGTTCCAAACTTCCTGGCAGCTGCCTGCTTTTTTGTAGTTTGAGATTTTGTTCAGAATAGTGGCAGGCCAAAGGTTGTCACTGGAAAAGACTCCATTTAGCTAGACAGTTCACCATAATTGAAGAAACTTGTGAGCAAGTTGCTTAGAAGTGAACCTCCTAAGAGTCAGGTAGGACACTGACTTTGCTGCCGATGCTCTGTTCTGTATCAGTTCTGTTGAGGATTTTATTCTGAGCATCAGGTTGCATTTGTATTCCCCCCATTTTAAAGTTTTTTTAAACTCATGCTGTATGCTCTTTCACGTGCTTCAGTTATTTAGGCACCAAGCATGTTCGGGATGTCATTTCACTGTGTGCTGAAGGATCATGATGGGGCACAGTTGCTTGGGGATCACTCAGCTGCCTTGATCCAGCACTGGTCTTTCTGCTGTGTCTTTACATGGATCTAAAATCTCTTCAAGAGAACTTAAAATCATGTAGTGGAATGGTGCTTCATTTTACATATAGTTATTACAGCTCTGCTCTTTATCATTTGAGGATTTCAGAAATGAGAAGTGCCTACGTTAAGTAATATAAACTGTTACTTATCTGGAGATTATTCATTGCAGGATTCCAGGATTGGAAATAACAGTAGGGAGGACCTGGTCCAACTTTACTTCATCTTGCAGATAAGGAAAGTAACACCTGGTACAGTAAGATTTGTGGAATGTCAATGAGTTAGTGGCAGCCCTGAGCTAGAAATCTGGTGTTTTGACAGTTAAATCCTTTTTCTTTCCATTTTAGTATGTTTTTGAGCCTATCTGATAGGAGTGGGAGCTAGAGAGAATGGATTTAGTTAATATATGTAGAGTGAGTGAACTCAAGCTCCCTGTGGTCCTGTTAGCATTGTTCAGTTGTATGCTGTCAACTTTTCACCTGATTCCAGCCATCATCCTTGTGAGTTGCTCTCTGAAAAAAACTTTTATGAGATAGGGTCTTATTTCATCCCCTCGTATGGAGTGCAGTAGCATGTTCATGACTCACTGCAACCTGGACCTCATGGGCTCAAGCAGTCCTCTGGCCTCAGCCTCCCAAGTAGCTAGGACAGTAGGCAGGGACCATCACACCTGGCTACTTTTTTATTATTTTAATTTTTGTAGAGATGAGGGTCTCGCTATGTTGCTAGGCTGGTCTCAAACTCTTGATCTTAGGCGGTCTTCCAACCTTGGCCTCCCAAAGTGTTGAGATTACAGGCTTGAGCTAACTGTGCCTGGCTATGAAATTGTTTTAATGTGTACTTTTCTAATGGTGATTAGCAATGTCGATTATTACAGGAAGGAGAAAAATACAGTTATTTGCATGGCTATAAAGATCAAATGGTCCAACTAAAGGCAGACGGGCCACTGACTATTGATTGTCATGGTCAGGTGCATGGAATGTCAGATATTTATGTGGATTAAGTCATATCAGAAAGCTTCCTTTTCGTTTAAATTTTGAGAGTTGTTATACAGGAAATATTATGCATAGTGTTAATAACATGGGTTTGCAGGCAGGCCGACCTAAGTTTCAGTACTACCTCTGGTGTTGGGCAATTTACTTATCTACTTTGAGCTTCAGTTTTGATATCTATAGAATAGATATAATACTCTTCCCTTGCTCTGTTGTAAGAATTAAATGAGATATATGAAAGACCTGGCACATAATAGGCCCTCATGAAATAACTGTTATTGTTTTGTCTTAGCTTTACTAATGTGTGGATTTTCAGTGAACTTTTGTGAAAGAACAACAAGTAATTGCTGAAAAACAATAATTGAAAGCCACGTACCACGGTGGCTCTTGCCTGTAATCCCAGCACTTTGGGAGACCGAGGCGAAAGGATTACTTGAGCCCAGGAGTTTTGAGACTATCCTAGGCAACATGTCGAGACTTTGTCTCTACAAAATAAAAAATAATTCGTTGGGCTTAGTGGCGCATGCCTGTCGTCCCAGCTACTCGGGAGGCCAAGGAGGAAGGATCACCAGAGCCCAGGAGGTTGAGGCTGCAGTGAGCAGTGATTGTGCCCCTACACTACAGTCTAGGCCACAGAGTGAGACCCCAACTCAAAAAAACAATTGTTAAAGAAATTATGTTGTAGTAGAGAGATTATTGATCTAGAAAGTCTAAATTATGAACTGATCTGTTTATCATTTACTCTCTGAGTCTTATTTTACTTACCTGTAAAATGAAGTTATAAGAAGTTTATGAATTTAGGCATTACTGTGGAAGCATTCTGAGAAAAGATTTCTACTAAATGAGACTTGAAAATCCCAATGGAAATGCAGTGGTGGGAGGGAGGGAGAAGAGCTGTTTAGCTGTGACTAGGGTGTAAAATAGATTTGAGATTGATTATTTTGTTTGGAAGAGTATTAGCATCATCTAGATTCCTGGGATTTCTACCTTTCTGACTCAAGATGCATGTATTTGTCTAGAATACCTGTGGAGAATAAACAATGGATTCCTTAGACCATATGTTGACAGATCCCCTGGAACTTGGTCCATGTGGAGATGGCCATGACACACGAATCATGGAGGATTGCTTACTGGGGGGCACCAGGGTCAGTCTACCTGAGGACCTTCTAGAGGATGTAAGTAGTAACATCGTTGTAATCTTTTCCTCTCTCTCAGCTTCCCAGTAACAGCTATGATAAACCATTTCTACTCTACCAGTTTTCAGTTTTTTGCTCTCTCTTTCATGAATTTTCTACATTGCAGGCAGATCTATTTTTTTTTAAGTGTAAAGTCTGTTTAATATTCTGGTTAAGGAAGAAAATATAAGCTACATTCTACATGTTTAATAACATGTTTGAATTATTTAATTATGATATAAGCTCTCCCTTCCCCCCTTTTTTTGAGTCGGGATCTCACCCTCACCCAGGCTACAATGTGGGGTATGATCAAGGCTCACTGGCTCAGGTGATCCTTCTGCCTTAGCCTCCCAAGTAGCATGTGTATGCCATCACGCCTAGTTAATTTTTAGATTTTTATAGAGATGGAGTCTTGCTATGTTGTCTTGAACTCCTGTGCTTCGGCCTCCCACAGTGCTATGTTTACAAGTGTCAACCCTATTTTTAACAAGATAATTTTCAACAATTAAAAAAAAGTATATTTTAAAAGCAGAATTATATATGTGTTTACTGTGTTGTGATTCCTTAAACAAAATCAAGACATATTTTGTCTGTCCATAAGGTAACTCTCTAGTCAAATAATAATATGTCATTTGGGATAGGAAGTCAGCACGCTTTTGACCACTTTAACAGGCAAGATGTGAAATCATTATTATTGTTAAGGAGGCTATCATTTATTTAAGCCATTGTATGTAAAAATTTCTCTTTTTTTGGTGTTAAAAAAAGGATGCTGACTTTGGAATCTTTATTTTATTTTTTCAGTGTATAAAAACATTTAATTATGTATTTTGTTTTGCCATGTTTCAAACATACAGACAGGTATAGATGACAGTATAACAAACACTCCACTCATCTATGTGTTACCCAGTTTTAGCAATTTCACTTAGTTATATTTGTTTTATGTTTTTCTTTCATAACGTATCAAATGTAGATAAAATTAAAGCCATCTGCATGCCCTTCTTTGATTCTCCCGGCTGCAGTAACAACTGTACTGCTGTTTATATATATATATGTTTTCATTTTTGTTGTCCTTGCATACTCTTTCAGGGTAATCTCTTTATGTTAATCATGAAGTCATCAAATGCTTGTTTTATTAAGTACCTATTCTGTGCCAGACACTTAGTTAGATGCTAGGAATAAAATGGTGTGCAAAAATAGTCTTGCGGGGGTGGGGGTTTTGGGGGAGATCTTGGACTTTGTGTCTGAGGTGCTTTTGGTACATTCATGCAAAGATGCCTGCTAGTGTTTCTCACCTAGATGGTGGTTACATATGAGTGGTTGGATTTCTGGGTTGTCTCCTACTTAAATGCTTCAGTGGCTGTCCGTTGTCCTAAAGTTACAACTCCTTACCATTTTTATAGTCCTTGCTTCTCTCTGCTGTGTACTGCCTCCTCCCTCCTTCCTTCCTATACTTGCTCTAGCCAAACATTGCCTGAACACTTTTTATCAAAATTAAAGTGAAATGTATCACATATCAAAAGAGTATATAAAATGCATATGTGTATGTGTGTGTATGTATTTAAAGAAATAAAGCATGCATGTAGCCACCACCTAGGTTAGGAACACTAACTAGCAATACCATTTAAGCTCCTTCCGTATCCCTCTCCATCTCATCCCACTGTTCCCTCCATAGGTAACTGCTGCCTTTTCTTTTGTGATAATTCTTCTTTTGTTTTTGTGGTTTTGCTCTGGATTTCTAACCCCCTCCCCCAGCAACGTTTTTCCCTTTCCTATCTCCTGTCTTAAATGTCACTTTGTCCGGTGGGTGTTCTCTGAAGTCATAAGAGTGGGATGTGGCTTCTATACACCTCAGTCCTTCTTAAACTGCCTTGTAATCGCATGTTTAATCTCCACACACTATATATGCCAGTCTAGCTTAATACTGGGCACATAGAAAGTATTCAGTATATAATTAGTGAGTTGAAAATAAACTCCATCCTGTTTCTTTTCACTCTTAGCAGGTGACCTCAACTCCCAAGTTCTTTCCTCCTGTTAGCCTTTTCCTGCTATTCAATTTAGGCTGAATTCAGATGTCCATCGTTATACCTTGTTGGGAGAGATGGCTTCAAAGTGGGATTCTCTCTTCTGAGATCATTTTCCTCTGGATTATTTACTCTTGGGTATAAGACTGTTGTTTATATGTAGTCTTTAATAATCTCTAAGTTTTGAGAATGGAGTAAGGATCATTGAAATTTTAGTTTGCTTAAAAAATTTAAAAACTTAGATGGTAATGCTAGTTACACAATTGTGAATGTACTAAAAGCCACTGAACTCTACACTTAAAAATGGTTAAAATGGTAAATTTTATGTTATGTGTATACTACACACAAAAAAATGTATTTTTCTTTGGTTTACTTTGCCTGTTTCTCCTAGCCCGAGATATTCTTTGATGTTGTCAGCCTCTCAACATGGCAGGAAGTATTAAGTGACTCTCAACGGGAACACCTCCAGCAGTTTCTGCCTCACTTTCCTGAAGACAGTGTTGAGCAGCAGAATGAGCTCATCCTAGCCCTATTCAGTGGGGAGAACTTCCGCTTTGGAAACCCTCTGCACATTGCCCAGAAGCTTTTCCGAGGTCTGTAGCTCAGCATTCTTTTTTGAGAGGGGTGCAGGGGTTCGGAACACATTCACTCATGTGGATATGATATTCCTTTCTTCATTTTATTCTCTTCATTTTCATATACAGTTACTGAGCCAGCAGAAAGTGATTTTGTGTAATAGTTTGCTGCTTAGGCCTTTTTTTATTTTTGAGTTTGGGTCTCACTTTGTTGCCCAGGTTGGAATGCAGGTGCACGATCATGGCTCACTGCACCCTTGACCTCCTAAACTCAGGCAGTCCTTCCACCTCAGCCTTCTGAGTTGTTGGAACTACATGTGTGTGCTACCACACCTGGCTAACTTTTTGATTTTTTTGTAAAGACTGGGGCATACTATGTTGCCCAGGCTGATCTCGAACTCCTGGACTCAAGTGATTCTCCCACATTGGCCTCCCAGAGTGCTGGGATTACAGGTGTGAGACACAGCGCTTGGCCCATTTTTAAATAAATAAAAATGTGTTGACCTATCAGAAATACATGATATGGACTCAACTGTGTAATCACCACATAGATCAAGAAATAAAATATTTCCAGCATCCTAGAAGTACTCCTTTATTATTAGTCTTAAAAAATTTTTAAAGAAATTTTAAAAACAGCTTGTTTTATTGCAAGTACATATATGTTTGTGTGTTTATATATATACATTTTTTTTCCGGTGGACTACATGACACATCATTGCTAAGCACTTCAGTGAGTAACAAGCACATTCTCGCACATAGTCACAGTCCTGTTATCACACCTAAGAAACTGTACATTGAACAAATAATATGGAATATTTCATGTTCAGGTTTTCTTACTTGTTCCTGAAATGTTCTTTATAGTTGCTGATTAAATGTTCAAGTTTCATGCATTGTGTTTGAACCTCATGTCTCTTTAGCTCATTGATTCTGGAGCCCTATGTACCTTTTGTTGTCTTTCAGTACACTGATGTTTTTAAAGAGCCCAGGATACTTGAGTTGTAAAATCCTGCTTTCTGGGAATTTGTTTTCTTCTCATAGTTAGATTCGGGTTAAATGCTTTGGCAACAATACAATATGGTAAACGTTGTCTTTCCTATTGTCACCTCAGGGGGCACATGGTGTCACTTTTTCCATTTTGGTAATGCTATGCTCAGTCATTTGGTTGAATGGTGTCTGCCAGATCTCCTGATTATAAGGGTACTTTTTTTTTTGTTAAGTCATTAAGCAATCTGTGGGGTGATACTTTGGGACTACGTGATAATCTTATTTCCCCAAAACCTTTGTTTTACAAGCAGTTTTTGCTTCCATTATTGCTTCTTGTCTGAATCAGTTATTGCATCGGGCGTTACAAAATGGTTTGGGACTACTCTTAAGTCACAGTTTACTCTGTGTCCTATGGAGAGGAGCTAAGAAAGACTCTTCTTCCTCCTTTCTGGAGTGACTTTGTTTTGGCAGGAGGCCCTGAAAGGCAGCATGTCTCCCTGGGTTCTGGACAACCTTTCAACTGCCAAACACTGGACAGAGCAACCTTTTCATTTCAAGTCTGTCATTATCTTAAGAGTTTAAAATTAGCGTTCCTTCCTTTGTTTTTGCTTTTTTGAGTGAATCTCATTCAGTTGGTCATAATGGAGTGCAGTGGCACAATTATGGCTCACTGTAGCCTCCAATTCCTAAGCTCAGGGAATCTTCCTGATTCTCCTGCCTCCACCTTCCAAGTAGCTGTAACTACAGGAGCACACCACTGCACCTGGCTAATTTTTGAGTTTTTTGTGGAGATGGGGTCTCTGCTATGTTACCTAGGCTGTCCGCTATGTTACCTAGTCTCCCAAAGTACTGGGATTACAGGTATAAGCCACCACGCCCAGCCCATTCTCTCCTTTGATGAGTTATTAATGTAAAGAGAAATTTCTGTCTGTGATCGGCCGAGATCTGTTTCATTGAAAGTGGGCGTATGCTGTCTTCTCTAATTGAGCAGAAGGGAAACCTGCTTGACTTTAGTGGAGTTGTATAAGGGGCTTTACTTATGTAATGTTAGCACTGTTTCTTATGCTGATGTGTTTTTCCCAAAACAGTATGGTAGTCTGGTAAGGATACAAAGAAAGAATATTAAGGCAGCATATTCCTTGCATATTTCACTCTGACCAGTGCTGTATTTCAGTTGTAGTGTGGTTGTTACAGTTATCAGCCTTAAATGAACTTTTATCAGTGCTTTTCAGCATTTGTTTACTTTTGGTTCTTTTTCTTGATTCTCTTGAATGTTTGCAAGTTTTCCCTTGAGTTCTGTGATAGTTTACCACATTTTAAACACTCATTAAATATTTGTTGCCTGATGTATATATAGTTGTATCTCTGTTTTTTTTAAGATGGACACTTTAACCCTGAGGTGGTCAAGTATCGGCAGCTATGCTTCAAGTCACAGTACAAACGCTACCTCAACTCTCAGCAGCAGTATTTCCATCGACTGCTGAAGCAGATCCTTGCTTCCCGGAGTGTAAGTAGTGCTGGGAATGGTATATAAAACATGGGCAGTGAACTCATAGGTATCAAGAAGCTGTTCAGATGCAAAACATGAAAGGTGCCACTAAGAAAAGCATGCTACTAATTTATCTATCTAAGTTAAGCTATGTCATTCCTATAATCAGTTTTAAGATGTGTCCTGATTTTACAGATGTTAAAACATGAAAAAATATGTGCTTCTTAAGACTGATAAAATATAATGTCTTCAATATTTACCTGGATAAACACATGGATTTCAGATCCATCATGAATTAAGGAAAACTAGGATGCTCTGGAACTGACTTGCAGGTGTGCCCAGTCTTCTGAATGCTGTGATGGAACATAGCACACAAAGCTTAATGGCCCCTGGGTCTCAACCAGCCTGGGAATTCTTAGAGGCAAACTCGTTTTGATTTTAAATGTTTTTTTAAGCTTTGGTATAGAAATACTTGGATGTCCTTATGGAAATTGGAACTGGAAACCAATTCCTTATCAAAACCTCAAATGCCCATGTCATAAGAGATAAGATAGACAAGTGGGACCTCATCAAACTGACAAGCTTCTACAAAACCAAAGAAACCATCAAGAGAGCAGGGAGACAGCCCACAGACTGGGAAAAAATATTTGCCAACTGTGTGTCTGACAAAGACCTAACATCCAGGATCTACAAGGAACTCAAACGTGCCGAAAAGAAAAAAACAGACCCATTATAAAGTGAGCAAAAGATATGCACAGATAGTTCTCAAAAGAAGATGTATGAGCAGCCAACAGATACATGAAAAAATGCTCAACCTCACTAGTCATCAAAGAAATGCAAATTAAAACTACAGAGATACCACTTAACTCTAGTCAGGAGGGCTATCATCAATAACTCAAAAAACAACAGATGCTGGAGAGGATGTGGCAAAAAGGGAACACTTCTACGCTGTTGGTAGGAGTGTAAACTAGTACAACTTCTGTGGAAAACAATGTGGCAATTCCTAAAAGATCTAAAAATCGACCTTCCATATGACCCAGCATTCCCCCTACTGGGAGTATACCCGGAAGAACTCAAATCACTCTATAAAAAAGATACCTGCACACATATCTTTATTGGCATTGTTCACAGTAGTCAGAACATGGAACCAACTGTACTGCCCATCAAAAGAGGACTGGATTAAAAAAATGTACATATGCATGATGGACTATTACGCAGCCATAAAGAACAAAATCACGAATTTCATAGCAACCTGGATGAACTTAGAGTCTGTAATACTGAGTGATCTTTCACAGCAATAAAGAAGTGAGTTTCACATGTTCTCATAAGCGAACCTTGGACAATTATCATAATACTGTAAGAAAAGGATTGGCAGTAGCGGGAAACTGCTGGGGGGGCAGGAAAGTGGGATTGGCAATAGTGGGAATCTGCCTGGGGAAGGGGGGGTCACACCTCATCAACAAGGGTACCTACATAATAAACATCTGTACACCTAACCCTGAATTGTACCCACATCTTTAAATAAAAAAAATTAAAAAAATACTATTAAATCTTCCCTCCCCCCCCAAAAAAGAAGTAGTTGGGTATCTAGTCTAATAAATATTTTTGGTGGAGGAGTTTAACACAGACTTTGGGTTTTTCACCATGTAATAATAATATAGGTTTTGTTTTTTTTTTTTACTTTTTTTTTTGAGTTGGAGTCTCACTCTGTCGCCCAGACTGGAGTGCAGTGGCCGCTCCCGGCCACCGCAGCCTCGACCTGTTGGGCTCCGGTGATCCATCCACCTCAGCCTTCCGAGTAGCCGGAATTACAGGCGCGCGCTACCACGCCCGGCTGATTTTTTTCATTTATTTATTGTAGAGATGAGGTCTCGTCTGCCCAGGCGGGTCTTGAACCCCTGGGCTCAGGCGATCCACTCACCTCAGTCTCCCAAAGGTGCGGGATTACAGGCTGAGCCATCGAGCCCGGCTTTTTTTACATATTTATACATGTGCATCTTTCTTTGTGATCTGGGGGGAGAGAATTGAGCTTGTTTAATCCTGAAGAGAAGAAAATGTAGGCTCGTAGAGTATGCTTTGTTCCAGAGCAAGGTTTGGAATGATGACATGTACCCACATCTGATCTCTTCCTAGGATCTACTGGAGATGGCCCGGCGGAGTGGTCCAGCCCTTCCCTTCCGACAGAAGCGCCCTTCACCATCTCGTACTCCTGAGGAGCGGGAGTGGCGGACCCAGCAACGCTACTTGAAGGTCTTGAGGGAAGTGAAGGAGGAGTGTGGTGACACGGCCCTGTCATCTGATGAAGAGGGTGAGCATCCTTGGGCACTTAGGGTTGCTGGGGTGTTGAATTTACACCGGCTACTTGTCCGGTTGGAGCCAGCGGTAGCCATTTATCTCCCTAGCAAAGAGCCTTCCTACTTGTCTGGGGGTGGATAGTGGGACTCAGAAGCCCTTGGTCTTTGGGTTCCTGAGACATTGCTTTTAGACGGGGAGTAACTACCTGTCCTGTTTATCCTTGTGGTCACGCGGCATCTGAGTTTAAATGCGAACCTATTGGACGAATCCCTGCACAGCAGGGCTCTCTCCACAGTAGGCCTGACTGGTCTCATTGTGCCACTTGAGAGAACTGCTTTTCCCCTTACAGGAGAGTAGTAGTGACTGTTGGCCTGCTGCAATGCGACCCCATCACTCTGTTGAAGTCTCTCTTCCTGGAAGAGCCGTTTAAATGAACTAAGTGTGCTCCAGCTCGTCTGGGGAAGGGTCAGAAAGGAATGTGGAACCCTGGCCTCCATGTGGTTGGCTTAGCCTTGTTGAACCCAAATGGCCACTTACCCAATCTCCCCTATTGGAGTCCACAGCCACGTTGGATTTACAAGAAAAATTTTCTTTTGAAGATCTCAGCTCATGGCTTCCGAGCTCTCCAGCACGTTCTCCTAGTCCTGCGGTGCCCCTGAGGGTGGTGCCCACGCTTTCAACCACGGATATGAAAACTGCAGGTGAGAACTGAGCTGGTGCTGCTACCGTTCTGGGAAATCACAGTGTAGATCTGAGAACTCCTTTAGAGGGCAGTGGGGACTAGATTCTTACCTGCCAGGAAAAAAAAGCAGTGCTTATTAGAATTAAGTGATTTGGAGAAGATTTTATACCATTCCACTTTTTTACATCTGGAGGTAGGCCTGCCTTCTTTCCTTTGTTTTAAAAATTTTCCTCAGCAGCTGATGAGCTGATATTTTGAGCTAAAAAAAAGCAGAGTTTTAAAATAACAATATTGAAGGACAGTTCAGTGATAGAACAAAAGGGATAACCAGAACCAAGGTGGTTCTTTAGCATGTCTGTGAAGTTGGAGAATTTTTATTTGGAATAAGAATCAAAGAAGAATATTAATAACCTTTAGTGTGTTTTAGAACCAGCTAAATAACTGAAGTCATTTTTACCAATGTATAGGAAAGTAGAAATGTTGATCCTGTGACTGTTTTAAGATTTTTGATACTTGTAATTCACAGAAATCAGAAGGGAAACTCAAAGAAGTATCTTACTTTTGAAAGTCACAAGTGACCAGAAAGATTTAAATTGAAGTGTCATGGTAGTGAATGACTAGTCCATGTGGTTTGGTTCATTTTCTCTCAGATAAAATAGAACTGGGGGACAGTGACCTGAAGATAATGTTAAAGAAGCACCATGAGAAGCGGAAACATCAACCAGTGAGTGGGAAGGGGTGTGGTCATTAGTGGTTTTCAGTCTATTGTCTCTGGATTGGCTATCGTGAAGAAGATACCTGGGAGTCACTACCTCATTTATGCTTACTTGTTATTGGGACAGGAGCAACCAGTGAGGCTCGATAGTGTGAAAGATGTGAGACGACACTTTGACTTTAAAGGCATGCTTAACATAGTGTCTGCTCTAACCTTTACAGCAACACTGTTTAGTATGTGACTCTTAATGTGCACCCTATCAGTGCTCAGAGGCTAAAGAGCTTGTCCTTGGTCCTATAGCCAGTGAGCGACAAAGCCAAGACCCTGTGCTCTTCCCACTTTTTACTGCTTCTATTATTCCACTCTTCCAAATCCAAATAGCACCAAGTCAGAGAGTTTAGTGGAGAAAAGATGGTGCCTTTTCAGGAAGGAAAGACAGGGACTTTCAAAGGCAGAGATAGGATTGGAAGAGTCCCACATTGGAAATCATTACTGAGTTCTCTTTCTTTTCTAATTCCTATGATACTGAGTAGGTCTGTTAACTTTTCTGAACCCAATTTTCAGACTTTGTAAAATATAAAATTACTTAACAAGACTGTTTAATGAGCACGAGATAAAGAATGGAGAAGAGTCTTATACCTATAAATGCTGTACAGTAAAAAGACTGGAACTGGATTCTGTGCACGAGTATGAAAACAGTTGGTTTTTTTTTAAATTAAATGGAGATATGGGAAAAAAACCAGTGGTTTTTATCTCTGAATATTTTAAATTCAACATGATTTCCTCAAGTGTACCTAACATTAAATTGTATCTGTTAGGTAAATAAATAGAGTCACCATCAGTGTTTGCTCCTTTTTTGGGCCTTCATAACCAAATCTCTGAATATCACATCTAGGATCACCCGGATCTTTTGACAGGGGACCTGACCCTCAATGACATCATGACTCGAGTAAATGCAGGCAGAAAGGGCTCTTTGGCAGGTAAATAAATGACTGTGAGTTCCATCTAGGTAGCTGTCGTTAAATTGCATGAACCTTAAAACATGTGGCAAAAGTAAATGAGACCACAGCTTCCTTTATGCTGATAACCTTTGTTTCAGTACTGCTTCTATGGATTTGTAGATGGGAAATGAATTTAAAATCAGAAACAACAGATTATTGATTCTTTAGTAGATATTAGAATTGTGTTGTAAATCACTCATTGATTTTGGATTAAAAAAATTCTAAATGTCTTATTACTGAGACTTTTCTATCTGTTGGGCCTGGGGAAAGGAATATGGGCCTGGGGAAACGAATATGCAGATATTCCTTTCTGATGTGGGGAGTACGGTTCTGTGACTTATGTTACTGTTTATTCCCAGCTCTGTATGACTTGGCTGTCCTTAAAAAAAAGGTTAAGGAGAAAGAAGAAAAGAAGAAGAAGAAAATAAAAATGATCAAATCCGAGGCAGAGGATATGAATGAGCCCCTAAGTAATACTGAAGGGGTCCCACCGCTCTCTCAGGCCCCATCTCCACTGGCAATTCCTGCTATCAAGGAAGAGTAAGTGAACAACAGAGAGAACAGAATGCTCAGAGTAAAAGATTAAACCAAAGGCTCTGCCCAGTTCCCTGGAGCATGTTGCAGCTGGCTGTAAGTGTACTGGGCATGTAAGCCCTGAGTCCTAGCATCCTGCTGGGAAAATGTATTGTGTGCCCCCTTCTTAAATTCTTTTATGACTACTAGGAGGCTTGGGGGCCTGAACCAATCCAGGGTTGTGATCTTGGTCTTTTTTGCTTGTTCTTATATTTTCTTCCCTCATTAGGCCCCTTGAAGACCTCAAACCTTGCCTTGGAATCAATGAAATATCTTCCAGCTTCTTCTCTCTTCTGTTAGAGATCTTGCTGTTGGAGAGTCAGGCTAGCCTTCCCATGGTAAGGTTTTTGGAAAAGTTGTGTGTACATCAGAGTCTTCAGATTATAAAATCTTTAATGGTCGATAGCTTAAGAAGCAAAACTCTGGGTTTCTCACAAAGCTGTGTAGCTAACTTGCTTTGTGACTTGGACACACACTGGACAAGTATGCCCCAGTTTGCTCTCACAGATCGGTAGAATGCTGGTGTAGAAGAGAAAGCTTACTAAGATCTGCCTTACTTTCCCTTAGCTAGAGGAGCGTGTTTTGGATTGGCAGTCTTCTCCAGCCAGCTCCCTTAACAGCTGGTTCTCTGCGGCCCCCAACTGGGCTGAATTGGTGTTACCAGCCTTGCAGTATCTTGCTGGAGAAAGCCGGGGTAAGGTGCTCTTTTTGGTAGGATTAGTATTTTCCTCCCTTTCATCTCATTAATTATGGTAAACCGTTTGTCTTGTCTATTATGCCTTTGCATAATGCCATGCCTCTGAGGTTCCTGCTATCCTGATATACTATGGAACACTCAAAAAACTATCTCAGAGCTCAGGGATGACTGTTATTTGTTACGAGTTTAACACTTTTTCTGACCTGTGTGGCTTGCTTATGTGATCTGTTTCTTGCAGCTGTTCCTTCCAGTTTTTCTCCATTTGTTGAGTTCAAAGAGAAAACCCAGCAGTGGAAATTGCTTGGTAAGTAAGTAATTCACACTACCTACCTAGCAGTAGGTTTTTGTTCTGTTTCCTACCCTCAGCTTCCCTTGCCTTCTAGTCAATGCAGTCCAGCAGCTTGGCAAGAAAGTCAATATTAGGACTTATTTTGCTCTGTGAAAGAATCCTTCAAGACCTTTTTTGTACTCTTTTTTTTTTGAGTTGGAGTCTCACTCTGTCACCCAGACTGGAGTGCAGTGGCACACTCATGGCCACTGCAGCCTCAACCTGCCTGGCTCAGGTGATCCTTCCGCCTCACCCTTCCAAGTAGGTAGAACTGTTTTTAAAGAACAGCATCCTTATTTGTGTTTTAAATTTGTAAAGCTCCACTTAGTTTGTAGGTTGTCATAAAATGCCTCAGAAGTCACTTGGTGACTGTTTCCTGGTGATGGTGATAAGAGGGAAATTCAGAGTTGGTTTCCTATTGAAATTCTCATGTTTCTCTTTGCTTTCTCTTGAGTGCTCTTTAAAAAAAAAAAAAGCTTTGTGGAGAAAGCAGTCATTCCTTATTATTATTATTTTTTCTGTCGCCCAGGCTGGAGTGCAGTGGCACACTCATGTCACCACAGCCTGACCTGCTGGGTCAGGTGATCCTTCCACCTTAACCTTCCAGGTAGCTGGAACCACAGGCATGCATTGCCATACCTGCCTGATTTTCTTGATTTATTGTAGAGATGAGATCTTTTTTTTTCCCCCAAAATGAAACATCTTTAATTTTTCCTTTTCTGTGTTAACAAATCACCAACTTTTCTTTGATAGCAGTAATCTGAAACTCATTCATGCAAAGCAGATACTCCAAGAAAACATACTACAAAAGGACATGAAATCCTTAGTATGAAATGGGGATTGTGTGTTGAATGTCCTCATTCACAAAAACCAAGTTTCTGTGGATCTCTAACATCACATTCCTATACAATATCTGCTGAGGGGGGTCCAGGCATTCCTACACCTCTGGAGAGGATTCTGTGGCAACATCCTTGAATGTCAACAACCCCTGAGAACAACAACTACAGCAACATATATTTACCAAGTGGCAGTGGACTCTAGGCAAAACAAGAGAGTTGAAGATAACCAGATCCAACTGACATAATTACATAGAATTATGCAATAAGATAATGTATTAGAGAATGTTTCTGTGTTACAAATTAAATCTGGGAAAACAGGATGAAATAAAATCCACTCAGCCAGTGTAGACACTTTTTTTGAATGATACAGCATAAATTTGGACACCAACACAGGTATGTACATTTTTCAGTGCTGTATTTACATCACACAGAGTAAGTTGCGTATACTGCTCAGATGGAAAGCTCATAATGAGTTAGAAGGTCCTAGTCAAGTTTTAATGTGTACAACAATGAATTGAATATCTTGTTAAAATGCAAATTCTGATTCAGGAGATACGGAGTTAGCCTGATTTTCTGCACTTTTTTTTTTCAGTTGGTAGGTCTCATTCTTAGCTATGCTTGGGTGTGGTAGCATAATCACAACTCATTGAAACTTCAATCACCTGGCCTGAAGGGTTGCTTCCACCATAGCCTCCAAAGTAGCAGGGACAAATGGGTGTCAGGTGCCAAGGCACACAAATACAACACAACATCCATGCTGAGATAATAAAATAGTAAAATATAATCTCAATCTAATAATAAAGAAATGTGTTTTAAGCAGAAATCCACCTACAGGTATCTTCCATGGCATATAATTTGTAAAAGTATATTGTTTGTTTTTAGCTTCCTAGAGAGCAAGTCTCTTCTAATTATTCTTTATTCAGACCTTCCTGAGTTGTTCTGGGCAGTAACCACCATTCTGGGTAAATGTGCATTTTATTAACCATGTTCTCCATGGAGCTGATGGAGCATCATGTGAAGTCTTAATTGTACATGTTCCCATCCTTCACTTGTATCTGAGGATCTACCCTATTATCAATTGGAATCTTGGGTATCCACACCTTCTCAAGTTCCCCAGCCACAAGAGAACATTTTTAATACTGCAGCTGCAGATCGTACATTCAAGGTGAGAACAATTAATGGCAACTAGGCAGCATGGATGATGAGAACAGAGTGGTCTCTAGTATGTAGGGAGACGTGTCCTTCAGAGTCCTTGAATATCACAAGAACAAAATTAGTTGAAACAAACTTACTAGGCAGGGCCATCACAAATAGTATAGTTTTAAAAATGACATTCCTTCTGACTTGGGACACATTTACCTGAGACCAGACATTCTTTTCCTTTTTCTCCTACTTCTCTGGGATTACTTTTTTTTTTTTTTTGAATCGGTGTCTCACTCCATCACCCAGTCTGGAGTGCAGTGGCAAGCTCACAGCCACCTAGCGTCAACCTGCTGGGCTCACGGCTCAGGCAATCCTTCTGCCTCAGCCTTCCAAGTAGCTGTAACTGTAGTCACACGTTAGTATGCCCAGCTTTATTTTTGATGTATTGTAGAGGAGGTCTTGCCAAGTGGCTCAGGCTGGTCTTCATCCCACGGGTTCAGGCAGTCCACCTTGGCCTCCCAAACTGCTGGGATTATAGGTTGAACCGCCGAGCCCGGCCCTGTGGGATTTCTTATCAGGTGAGATGATCTGGACAGGTCACAAGGTGACAAGAGGCTGAAGCGACATGTGACATGCGACATGCGTGGATTCCAGAGAGCGGTACAAAACTGAGAGGAGATGAAATCTTGCCATGTTCCTCAGGCTGGTCTTGAACCCCTGAGCTTGGGTAATCCTCTTATCTCTGCCTTCCAAAGTGTTGGGATTATAGGCGTGAGCCACCACACCAGGCTCATTCCTTATTTATTACATTCATTCAGCTTGTAGGTGTTGACACCATGTCAGGTACTGGGGGTATTTTTCCTAAGTTAGACAGTGTGCTCCCCTCATGGAACTTAAGGTCAGTTTGGGAAACAAATATTCATTCAGATTAAATAGTAAACTCTGATCGTTTCTGTAAAGGAAATTTCAGAAAGGATGGGAGTTTATCATAGGAGTTGGTGTAGTCTGGAGAGGCAAGGAGGACCTTTCTGAGGAAGCTGTGTTTGAGTGAAGATAGGTGATGAGTAGGACCAAGCTAGGCAAATCGAGGGAAAGAGTGTTCCAGGTGGAGGAAGCAGTATCTGTTAGTAGTACTTGGGGAAGATTCTGTTTAAAACAGACACACAAACCTGTGAAAGAGACATGATAATCTGGACCCGGGTAGAGAGAATGGATACATTTGAGAAAGTGGTAGAAGCCACAGGACTTGGTTGTGAATTGGCTATGGGAGTGAAGGAAGAGCAGTGTTAGCATGGCCTCTGCTAGATTTGTAGGAAGGCCCCATTCATCAAGGTAGGTGGCTATGACAGATTGGGCTTTGGGGTGGTAGAAGCATGAGTTTAGTTTGGATGTGCTGAGTTGGAACTGCCTTTGAGGTATTTAAGTGGAGTTGTTGAATAGTAGGATATGTGGAGTTAGCATTCCTGTCCTAGAATTAAGGTGGAGAGCCATTGGCATGTATGTGGTTGAGGGCATGGATGCCATTACCTCCAGGGGAAAGTGTCAAGTGAGGAGGGAAGAGGGCCGAGGAAACTCATGGCAGAAGAGACTGGAGAGCATGTGGGCAGGAGGTGACTACTGAGATAGGAAAATCCTGGTGGAGTCTTTGGAGCCCAAGGCACAAGAGTGCCTAAAAAGTGGAGATTGGATGTTAGCATTCCTGAAAGATTCAGTAAGATATGTGGAAGAAATTGCCAGTATTTTAGTGAGAGTGATTTGATGAGAATTAAAGCTAGTGTGAGTGGAAGGTGACCATAACCACTGACTGCAACACTTCCTGACTGGGGGGTTGGAGTAGCCATGGTGAGAATACTTCTACTAGGGCTTGGCAGGCTGTTTTGAACAGGGCCAGATAATACATTTTTTAAGCTTGTGGGACAGATGCTTTCTGTTGCATGTACTCAACTCTGCCGTTGTTCAGAGCTTTCTGCAGATAGTGGTATTGGTGGTATTGTGTATTTACTAGTGAAAGCAAAGATAAGTGTCTTAGTGAACATTGTCTAAACAGCCGCTTTGAGAGGGGTTAGCTGCATTCTTCACACAGCAGACCTGGGTGATGGTTCCATGCCTTCTAGCCTGGGCAAGAGAACTACGTACTATTCATTGTGTGCCAGGTGCTGCAGTCAGAGCCTCAACAAAGTGACCTGAGAGGAGGACACAGAGGGAAAGTGCTCGTCTCTTTCTGGGCAGGTCATTGAGAGGTCAAGCCTTTTCTTGCCCTGGGAACTTCTTATTGCTGTGCTAGTGCACACAATGCCTCTGTGTCCCTACTAGCCAAAAACCTTTTCTCTCCTACAAGAGTGGGATTACTTCCCTGGTGTAAGCTATCATTACATTCTTTGTGACATCTACTTTTTTTTTTGAGTTGGGTGTCTCACTTTGTCACCCAGGCTGGAGTGCAGTGCCACGGTCATGGCTACTGCAGTCTCAGCCTGATGAGCTCAGGCTGTCCTCTGCCTCAGCCTTCCAAGTAGCTGGAACTACAGGTGCGGTGCGTGCCACCATGCCTAGCTAATTTTTTTGATTTATTGTAAAGACGAGATTTTGCAAAGTTGCCCAAGCTGATCTTGAACCCCTGGGTTCAGGCAGTCTTCTCACCTTTGCCCTACAAAGTGCTGGAATTACATGAGTGAATTGCTGTGCCTGGCTAACCTCCCACTTTCTGAGTAATTGTATTTATTAAATGTGCTCTTTCCTCACTTGACTGTAAACTCCATGAGGGTGAAGAAAATTCACTGAATGACCCTGGCTTCACATAGAGTGCTTGGCACTCAGCAAATAAATACTGAGTGAATGATTTAATTAAGTGGCATCCAAGAACGATAGTCCAGGCAGACTTCCTCTGACTGGAAGGGCAGTGAATGTGCAAAGGATCATTGCCATAGCTCCTGATATGGTCTCTGTCTGGCACAGGTATAGCAAGTAAAGAGAAAGTGGCATTCTCAATACCTTAGATCTTGTTTTTTGGTTTTTTTTTCCTCTTATAGGTCAGTCCCAAGATAATGAAAAGGAATTAGCTGCCCTTTTCCAACTGTGGCTAGAGACCAAAGACCAGGCCTTCTGTAAGGTATGGTTTTTAAGAAATACCAGATCTTACTCATTAGTTTTTCAGAGTCCTTAAGTTAGCCAGAATTCTTTAGTTCATTTACCTTTTAATGTTTTCCTTTTCTCCAGCAAGAAAATGAAGACAGCTCAGATGCCACAACACCTGTCCCTCGGGTGTGAGTACAATACTCTAATGGTGGGTGGTAATGAAACAGTAGTTGAAGGTACTGCCATGGTTTTGCTGATATTTAGAGCTGATATTTAGTGCTGATGTTAGAGCTGTAATGGACTCTAGAGATCCTAGGGATTCTTACCTGCCTCAGCATACCTGAGAAGGACAGCACACTCCCCTCAGAGTGACTCCCCCCAAGGGCTTCTTGACTGGGGGAGAGGACTGTGCCATCGAGCTTCTGAGGGGCATGTGGTCTACCTTGTAGGTGAACATACTTTATCATCAGTATACTGCTCCCTGGGTTCCCTCTTTGAGAATGGTTAATCCACCTACCTCATTTTACCAATGTATTAAGGCGTGAGGTTGACTCACTGAAGATTAGTGGCAGGGCCCTGACTAGAACTGAGGTCCCTTGACTCTTAGTATCACATCGTCTTGTGCTTCTGTTTCCAGCCTTGTGTGGTTCTATACTGCGATTTTTCTTTTTTTTTAGTTGGAGTCTCACTCTGTTGCCCAGGCTGAAGTGCAATGGCACCTCAGCCTTCCAAGTAACTGGAACTACAGATGTGCGCCACCACACCTGGCTAATTTTTTGATTTATAGTAGAGATGAGGTCTCACCATGTTGCCCACGCTGGTCCCAAACCCCTGAGCTCAGGCTGTCCTCTCACCTCAGCCTCCCAAAGTTCTGGGATTATAGGTGTGAACCACTGTGTCTGGCCTTATAGTTAGATTTTTGAATGCCAATGCAGAGGCCCAGTGTAAGTGTGGCAGAACTGTTGTGTCGTGTAATAGGGGTGTGGAACTCAAGTTCTGGGTACTTTCCCAGGAGGCAGAAAAACTGCCATTGTCATCTAACACTCTTGAAACCCTTTATTTCTCTAAGGTGAATTTTTTGTTGCTATTAGAATGGGCTTACATAGCTGCAAGACTGAAAACAGTAGGTAAAAATGTCAGCCTTTTTCTTACCTACCCAATACTTTGCTGAATTTCTAAGAATCTAGTACTTTTGGAAATACCAACAGGAGTTAACTTGGTAGGAACTGTAAAGTGGGCTTTTCACCTTTGCATGAACTGAGTGCTTATGAAGAGAAATCTTTCCAAGTTGCCGAGGAAGTGGTTCTGAAGAGGAGTGATGGGTCTGACTCATGTGCCAGCTCTCAGGGTTGACACAGAATTCTTTATGTTCTAGAAGAACTGACTATGTGGTGCGGCCCAGCACAGGGGAGGAGAAACGGGTTTTTCAGGAGCAGGTAAGAAATACCTAGAAGTCTCTGTGAGCCATGCAGAGAAAAGCTCTGAGCCTGACTCTCTTTGAGCCCACACTCTTGGAGAAAATCCACTCCTTTCACTTTAGATACTCTGTTGCTTGAGATTGCTTGTTGGGGTGGAATGGTATGAGGAAAAGGAATAAGAAATGCTTTGATATTCTTTTTTTCCAGGTAACGAAGTACATTTATATTTACCTCTTTGTCCTTTTGCTCAGTGTCCAGCTCTGAGGACCATTTTTTCCCCCACTGTATTTGGCTCAATATTCTAGTAAAATCACCTGTTTCCTTCCTGTTTTATTTTTCTTTTGTAGAGATGGGGTCTCACTATGTTGTCCAGGCTGGTCTTAAACTCCACAACTCCATGTGAATTTCCTTATAGAAAGAACCTCACTCATTTTGACTTAGAAGCCTTGTTCCTTCTCTGTTTGTAGGAGCGTTATAGGTACAGCCAACCCCATAAGGCGTTCACCTTTCGCATGCATGGCTTTGAGTCCGTGGTGGGGCCAGTGAAGGGCGTGTTTGACAAGGAGACCTCACTCAACAAGGCTCGGGAGCATTCACTGCTGCGCTCTGACCGGCCTGCCTATGTCACCATCCTGTCTCTTGGTATGTGCCCTCTATTCATTATCAGGGTTCCCTTTTTTGATCCCAGAGCTTTTCTCTAATTAACCTGAACTCCATTCTCCCTTTTCCCTCTTTCATCCAGGGATGTCTTTGAGGGTCAGGCATAATTTTCAGAAGCTTTGGAGTTTGTGAATTGAAGGAGAAATTTGCCCAGAGACTGATGCCAGGAATCAGTGTTTCTTCCTGAAGTCTGGCCTTACAATTGTGTTCATTTAGGAATTGCTAGGCCACCTGAATAGTTATGTTATGTGTAGGAATTTTCTTCCTCCAGGCTGTGATTCCTTTAAAAATGAGAGTTCTTAACCTTTTTGTGTGCCATGAGTCCATTTGCAGTCTGTTGGAACCTTTGGAATTATGCTTTTAACTGCATAAAATAAAACGTGTAGAGTTACAAAAGAAATCAGTCGTGTTAAAATAGTTAATGACGGTATTAAATTTGGTACAGAAATAGATATGCTTTTATTTTAATACTGTATGACAAGATCCGGCAGCAGGTCTTAGCGATAACTGTAATTTTCAGATAGTGATGAGTGTAAATGATATTTTGAACTTTTCTGCAATAATGTTAATACATGAAAATATTTGGTTTCTATTATACCATCATAGCACTCCAACATATGCTTTGTCATCTTAGTTCATAATTGAAGAAAATACAAAATTTCAGTTAAAGATATAATTTCTTCCCACCCAAGTTCACAGGCCCACTGAGTTCTAAGGTGGTTTGCCTAAAAGTCTGACAGGTATAGGAAACTCCATTGACAAAGGTGCCAGCCATGAGGGGGGAGTTGGTGAGTTGGTGGGGTAGAGGAGCAGGATCCCCAGGGAGCTTCCCCTACCAGAGCAGGTTGGGAGACGGTCATCAAGAGGGAGCCTGGCTTGACTCTTGGACTTTGCGTTTTCTGCTGTCATCAGTTCGGGATGCGGCTGCTCGACTGCCAAATGGAGAAGGCACACGGGCAGAGATCTGTGAGCTCCTTAAAGACTCCCAGTTTCTTGCACCAGATGTCACCAGCACTCAGGTAGGATGGAGAAGACATTACTTTTGCTTTGTTTTAGAATGATTTAAGAAAAATTATTAGGAAATGTCACATATAACAAAGTTTTAAAAAAGGATATCTTGAAAAATGCATAGTGGTGACCAACCAAGATCCTTTACTGTCAGTGAAGCACAGATTTGGCTCTCGGCTTTCTTTTAGCTTATGATAAAGGAAAGAAGGCCAATCACTTACTCAGTTCACAGTATCCTTACAGTGAAAACAGGTCAGTATCCAGTAGTCTTACAGCATTTATTGTTTTGCCAAATGATTTGACAAAACATTGGGAGTACACAGCTGGGCTTAAATATAATCTCTTTACCAGCTGTAACTTCACATCCAGTGTTTTTTTTATCTAGAGTACAATTACCTTCTGTTATCTGAGTCTGACTTATTTCTTCCCTTTGCTCTGGTTTGTAGGTGAATACAGTAGTGAGTGGTGCACTGGATCGGCTTCATTATGAAAAAGACCCTTGTGTGAAGTATGACATTGGACGAAAGCTGTGGATCTACCTGCATCGTGACCGAAGTGAAGAAGAGTTTGGTGTGTGAGGCCCCTGGGCAGTGTGTTCAGCTAGATTAGGATTCCTTTTGACTTTCTGGCCCAGACAGGAGAGGATTCTAGAGGCAGGATTCAGCCCACCAGTGAGGCACTGGTTTTTAGCAGAATCTTCTTCCTTAGTATACTGAGGTTAAACTCTTGCCAAAGCTTACCACTCTTGTTTACAGAGCGGATTCACCAAGCACAAGCAGCTGCAGCTAAAGCTAGAAAAGCCCTTCAGCAAAAACCTAAGCCTCCATCCAAGGTGGTAAGTGAGAGCAACTGCTTAGGGATTCTGGGATGGCAGCAACTAAGAGTTACTGCTAAATGGCTTTCATTTACCATAGTACATGTCTTTCTTGGAAACCTTCTGACACCTACAGGTAAATTTCCTTTTATCTTCCATTCTAGAAGTCTAGTAGCAAGGAGAACTCCATAAAGGTTCTCAGCAGTGGCCCTTCTGAGCAGAGCCAGATGAGCCTCAGTGACTCCAGCATGCCACCCACCCCAGTCACCCCTGTAACCCCCACCACGCCAGCATTGCCTGCCACTCCGATCTCCCCTCCACCTGTGTCATCGGTGAACAAAAGTGGCCCTACCACCATCTCCGAACCAACTAAATCTAACTCAGGGTGAGCATCTCCTTTCCTTCTCCTCCAAATTCCTTTTGTATATATGCCCTAAGTGCCTGGTTTTTTTTTTATTTTGCCCTGATTTTCCTTCTAGGGTTCTTCTAGTGTCCTCACCAACAATGCCACAGCTAGGAACAATGCTTTCCCCAGCTTCCAGCCAGACTCCACCTAATTCTCAGGCTGCTGCCCGGGTTGTGAGTCACTCTGGCTCAGCTGGACTGTCCCAGGTGCGAGTGGTGGCCCAGCCTAGCCTTCCTGCTATTCCCCCGCAGTCAGCAGGGCCAGCCCAGACACTGCCACAGATGCCAGCAGGACCACAGATCCGGGTTCCAGCTACTGCCACACAGACCAAAGTAGTGCCCCAGGTAAACAGGGAAGCTGCAGGTCATTGGGTGGCAGGGAAAGCGGAACTAGTGGTGGGCTGATGGGTCAAGTAGGCAGAACCTGGGTCAGGACTGAGACATCATAGATTATTGCTGTTGCTGATGATGGACGCCAAATCAGCTCATTTAATGTTCAAACCTGGGTAAGAATTTTTACATATTGTATTTTATATGTTGGGAGTCAGTAAATGAGTGATTTACTCAGGATTCTGACATCAGGACCGTGGTAGAGATGGGGTATAAATCCAAATCTTGTTGAGTCTAAATCTCAGACTTCTTCTATGGCGCCTCTAGTTTCAGCCATTTAACTAGTTGTGTGAATTTAGAGGAGTTGTATCCTCTTTGCCTCAGTTTCCTTTACTGTAAACAAGGTGTACTATATTCTCAGTGTGTAGGAATAACATATTATTTAATTGTTAAATGTAAAGATATTCTGAAAATTAAGCTGTTATACACAAATAAGACCTTTGTGTCTACAGCCATACCACTCTGAACATGCCCAGTCTTGTCTAGTCTTGGAAGACACTTATGTACTTTTTAGAGAATGATGATTCCCCTTAGCACAGTTAGATTAGAAGTACTCTTAGAGGAATACTTCCTGGGTGGTAAATGTGGGAGACCTTTTTTGGAGTGCTGTTCTGCATCTTAGTGTCTAATTTAGCTCTTGGCCTCATGCCCTGAACTAGACAGTAATGGCCACCGTTCCAGTCAAATCACAGACTGCAGCAGCCACTGTGCAGCGGCCTGGACCTGGGCAGACGGGGCTTACAGTGACAAGTCTCCCTGCTGCAGCTAGCCCCGTGAGTAAGCCAGCCACAAGTTCTCCTGGGACCTCTGTGCCAAGTGCCTCCACAGCTGCCGTTATTCAAAACGTCACAGGACAGAACATTATCAAGCAGGTAGGTGGGCCTCTTTCCAGGAGATTCTTACTCCTTTGTCCTAAAGCAAGAACTGCTGAAATTGGAGGTTCTTGACCAGACTGGGAGCCTGTGGGAAGAAGATATGTCATCTTTGACCCTTAGTTTATAGGTACTTAGGATGTGAGTTCACACCAAAAGCTGTGCCACCTTTATAGATGCTGAAGAGATTTCTTCTATTTCTTTCTGTAATTCAGCATTTAGTAGTTGAGTTTTTTGGATTTGGAGTAAATGCTCTATGAATTTATTTAAAGACTTGTGGCATAATTTATTCAAATTCCCATGGCCATGTTTTATTGGCTTTTCGGTTTACCACTAGTAAAAGTAGAATATATTTGTACTTTATTACTTGTGAATATAAAATGATAATTGTTGAACTTCAAGAATTGTTAAGCAGAATAGCGACTAATACTGATAGGAGTGTTTCCCATGTGCCTGCACCGTGCTAATAAGCATTTTATACCTGTTAAATATAATAATCTAATCCTCATAGCTCTGTAGTTTGGCACTTTTGTTATCCTTGTTTTAAAGATGAAAAAGTGGAACTACATAACAAAGTAACATTTTTTTTTCATTCAAGAAAACTGAATGTCTGTCATGTGCCAGGCGCTGTCCTAAGTATTGGGAATTTAGTGGTATATTAAACAGACTAAATCCCTGCCTTCATGGAATTCATATTCTCTTAAGAGCTGGGAGATAAAGACGTCAGTGTCAGGCAGTAATAAATGTTGTGAAAATCAGCAGACAGACGAAAGTGTGGAGAGTGGTAGTGTGCTGTTTTAGCTAGGGTAATAAGAGAGGGCCTATCTGAGGTGGTGACATTAGAGAGAGAGGAATGGAGTTCAAGAGCTTGTCGCATAATGATGATTGAGGGTGAAACGTCCCAGGCCTAGAAATGGCAAGTGCACCTGTATCAGGCGATGGTTGAGGAACAGCAGGAAAGCCATCAGGACTGAAGCGTAGTGAGGAAGTGTGAGGGTATAGGAAGATGAGGTGGGGAGAGGCTGCCAGTGTTTAGATTATACAGGGCTTGGAGGTTGATTTAAATGTGATAGGGAGCTGCTGGAAGATGGTGATCCAGGGTGACTTGATCTGGTTTGCATTTAAAGAAACACCTGGCAACTGAGTAGAATAAACTATGGGGAACAAGAATGGAAGCAGGGAAATCATGTAGGATCCCATAGTTGGAGTAGTCCAAGCTAAATGCAATGCTGGCTTAGGGTGGACTGAGCAATCTTTAGGGGTGGTGAGAGTGGTGGTGAGGGTACAGGTGAAGGGAGAGCCAGCCAGTATGGTTTTTTGGTGACTCTAGTAGGGGTCTGAGAGGAGGAAGGTGAGAATGCTCCCATGGCTTTGGCTTTAGTGGCTGGATAGATAATGGCATCATTTACCATTAGAGGAAAATTGAGGTGTGGAGACTGTGAGACAGACAGAGAAAAGTGCTTGCGAAGGAGGTAGCAGCACTTGTGTCTGTGCAGTGACAGTATGAGATGAGACTTGTTGGATGTGGATCATGAGTGTGCGTGATGGGACCAGGGGATTGGTGGCTTTGGATGATGGGTTCAAAAGAGAAAGTAAGGTGAGGAAGTGAGTATGGTTGCCTATGAGGACAATCTGCACCTGTGGGTTCTGTGTCCTATGATTCAACTTACTGTGGCTTGAAATATTCAGAAAAAAACTTTTAAAATAACAGTACAATAAAAATATACAAATTTAAAAACCAGTACAATAACTACATAGCATTTACTTTGTACTAAGTATTGTAAGTAATCTATAAATGATTTAAAATACACAGGAGAATGTGCATAGGTTATATATAGCTACTACATCATTTTATAAAAGGGACTTGAGCATCCATAGATTTTGGTATCTGCATGAGGGGTCTGTCTACTTGGTCCCTAGCAGATACCTAGGGATGACTGTATAGGTAATTTTTAGAGGAATTTTGCAACTGAAGAGAGCAGAGAACTGGAGTGGAATGTGGAGTGGAGTGAAGTAGGTAGAAGGAGGTGTGGAGTTAACTGTAGTTGGTTGGTTTTTCAGGTGGGAAGTGTTGTAGCATGTTTGCATTCTGATGGCCGTAGTCCAGTAGAGGGGAGAAAGTTGATCATGCCACAGCGAGAGAAAGTCCCTGAGTACAACTGGTAGCGTCTATGACACATGGGAGAATTGGCCTTAGGAGTTAGGAAGCTGGGTGTGGTGGCACACACCTGTGGTCCCAGCTGCTTAGGAGGCTGAGGTGGGAGGATAGTTTGATCCTAGGAATTCAAGTCCAGCTAGTGAAACAGAGCAAGATCCTGTCTCAAAAAAAAAAAAAAGATAGGAGTTGGCATAGGAACCCAAGAAGTTTGGCTCCAAAACCCATACTCGGAACCACCATGCCACACTGCTCTCAAAATGAAGGTTAGTCCAAATAAAAATAGAAATTTTTGAGACAGTGAAATGTGAATACATATATACTGATACTATATTAGGTAGTGAAGATAGCTGTGTGTGTGTGTGTGTGTGTGTGTGTGTGTGTTAGTTTCAAAAGTCCTTTTCTAGGTTGCAGCAAAAGAATAGATCTTGAATTTACTTTAAAATGTTTCAATTTCTTCCCCCCATCTCTCCCCCACCCAAGGTAGGGAAGGATGAATAAAACAAGATTGACAAAGTTAGATTTTTATTTTATTTTTTGAGTTGGGAGTCTCACTCCATTGCCCAGGCTGGAGTGCAGTGGCACGCTCTCAGCCATCCCAGTGTTGACTTGCTGGGCTCAGGTGAGCCTCAGTCTTCTAAGCAGCTGGAACTACAGGCGTGTGCTACCACGCCTGGCTATTTTTTGTTTTTTTATTGTAGAGATGAGGTCTTGCCAAGTTGCCCAGGCTTTTCTCAAACCATGGGCTCAGGTATTCCCCTCACCTCGACCTCCCAAAGTGCTGGGATTACAGGCTTGAGCCAGAGTTAGAAGTTTTGAAGCTAGGTGAAGGGTAAATGGGTTTGTTATGCTATTCTTTACCTGTGAATGTTTACTATGATTCACAATACAAAAGTTCAAAAGATATATGAAACATAAACCCATGAAATGGAAGTTTGACTAATTCTGCTGTGTCACTAATTTAGCATCTTGAATCTCTCATCAATGCTGCTTCTCCCCATTCAGGTGGCAATCACTGGGCAGCTTGGTGTGAAGCCCCAGACAGGCAACAGCATTCCACTCACAGCCACTAACTTCCGCATCCAGAGTAAGGATGTATTGCGTCTGCCACCCTCTTCCATCACTACAGATGCCAAGGGTCAGACGGTTCTGCGAATCACTCCGGACGTGATGGCCACGTTGGCCAAATCCCAGGTTACCACAGTCAAATTGACTCAGGACCTCTTTGGGACAGGAGGCAGCACTACAGGCAAAGGCATCTCTGCTACCTTACATGTCACTTCCAATCCAGTCCATGCAGCTGATAGCCCTGCAAAAACCAGTTCAGCCAGTGCCCCTTCATCCACTCCAACAGGTACCACCGTGGTAAAAGTGACTCCTGACCTCAAACCAACAGAAGCCTCAAACTCGGCTTTTCGCTTGATGCCAGCTCTTGGTGTGAGTGTGGCAGACCAGAAAGGAAAAAGCACGGTAGCCTCTTCAGAAGCAAAACCAGCTGCCACTATCCGCATCGTGCAGGGCTTGGGGGTGATGCCTCCTAAAGCAGGCCAGACCATCACAGTTGCAACCCACACCAAGCAAGGGCCCTCAGTAGCCAGTGGGTCTGGAACTGTCCACTCTTCAGCAGTATCCTTGCCCAGTATGAATGCTGCTGTGTCCAAGACTGTGGCTGTGGCTTCTGGGGCTGCAAGCACCCCCATCAGCATCGGGACAGGAGCCCCCACTGTGCGGCAGGTCCCTGTCAGCACCACGGTTGTGTCCACATCCCAGGCTGTGAGTAACTGGTGATAAAGAATAACTCTTCTTTCCAGGAAACTTTTTAAGGCTGTTAAACACCCCTCTCTCCCAACGCGACAGACTCCTTAAGGACTAGGGAATATTTAGGAATGGAAATTAGAAACCCTGTTTATATCACTTCATTTGACCCAACTAGATTTGTTTACTGATAGACATTTTTGTTTTCTTTTGAAACACAATTTATAAAAGAATAGTACTTGTATACATTATTTTAAAATATTAAAAGAACAGTGCAGATGAAATAAAATTTCTTTCACCATATTGCAGTTCTCCCTTCATGAGGACTAATTACTCTTGGTAATTTGGGATTTATCTTCCTAGTCCTTTTCCTAAGCATTTTGATACATAATGCACATAGTTAAAAAAAAAACAACAACTGAAAACCTGTGAGAGACCTTAATCTATATATTGTTCTATGATTTGCTTTATTTATTTTTTTAAAATGTCTTGGGGATTGTTCTAGGCCATATATAGATACTAACTGGGGGGTTCTTGATATCGTAGTAATCTATAGAAGTGGTTCTGTTAAAGGGCACGTTTCCACTTGTTAACCAGTGCTACAGTGACTGTTCTGGATTCATGGAGGTATACATAGTGAAAGTTTTAATATTCCAGTTGTGCTACAAAAAAGGCCATACCAACATGCACTCCCTTCAGCAAGTCTCCTGTTTCCCCTAGACTTTAACCAGTGCTGTTATCACATCTCTCTCTCTTTTTTTTATATTACATCTCTTTAGCTTTGTGTATATGTCTGACTGGTGAAAAGGAGTTTTTCTGATTTCATTTCTCTAGTGTGAGTGAATAAATTTTTGCCAATTTTCTTTCGAAGTAGTTGGCTTTTTCATATTGTATGAGATAGTCCTTTATATCTTCTGGATGTTCTTTATAGAAATATTCTCTTCCAATCTGTCAGCTTAACTTCACATATGGAGACTTTTTTTTCTATAAGTATTTATAATTGTATCTGATTATATCCATTAGCGTTTTCTCTAATCTTTTCTAGGTTTTGTGCCTGTCCCCTTTTCAACCCAGGGTTATAAAATATATTTTGTGTTTACAAAAAGTTTAATTGTTAATTTATTTGAAATGTATTTTTATGAATGGCATGAGGTGTGTAGGGATCTCATTTCATAGTTTTCAAATTATGCCAAAATCATCAGCTGTCCCTTCTTCACTACCTTTAAATACTACATTTCTCATAAATCAGGTTTCCATATCAACAAAAGTATGTTTCTGGATGGATGTGTGTTTATTTTTTAGTCTCTAACACAGTTCCACTTTATAAGCTACAGGGTGAGACCCAAAAAACCCGGAATTTATTTATTTTAAAAATGTGTATTTATTCTAACATGTTTAAACTTCAGTCACCTTCTAAGTACTCTTTGTTTGATGCAATACACCCATTGAGACACTTTCCACTGTGCAAAACAGTTTTTGAACTCATTGATTTTGATGCCTTTTAGAGCTTCTGCTCTTTTGTGTTTCATTTCCTTCACATCAGCAGAACATTTTCCTTTGAGGACTTTTTTCACTGGGGAAACAAAAGTCATGTGGGGTAGAATAGGGTGAGTGGGGATGGGGATCATGCTGTTTTTGGTTAGAAACTGTGGAACACTTAGCACGGTTGTGGGCAGGTGTGCTCATAAATCACCCATCGCCGGGCTTGGTGGCTCAGCCTGTAATCCCACGCCTTTGGGAGGCTGAGGTGAGCGGATTGCCTGAGCCCGCGGGTTCGAGACCCACCTGGGCAGCGAGACCTCATCTCTACAATAAATCAAAAAATCAGCCGGGCGTGGTAGCACACGCCTGTAGTTCCGGCTACTTGGAAGGCTGAGGCGGAAGGATCACCAGAGCCCAGCAGGTTGAGGTTGCAGTGGCTGGGAGCGGCCACTGCACTCCAGTCTGGGCGACAGAGTGAGGCTCCAACTCAAAAATAAATAAATAAATCACCCATCATGAAATAAGCAAAGGTGTTGAAAGAATCTCCAAAAAAAATTCACTGAAGCTGAAATGTAGCCTCTCACAACAATGCTAGTTTGTATACCGATGCTGATGGGTTCCTAGGATATTTACCTAGTGGGGGAAGCCTGTGCTTAAATGGGACCCACACTCCAAAAAATAATTCTGACTTTTTTTTGGTTCCCTTTTGTTTGTAGGTAAAGGTTAATTTGGGATAAAATCCTGAATGATGAAGAAAGACACTAGTAAAACTAACACACAAAGAAAAAAACTCTAATACAGTGTGTGTTTTTTGTTTTTGTTTTTTTTAAAGCAGGATTTATTGAGAGGACAGAAAAGCTCCCACAGTGGGGGGGAACCCAAGGGGGTTGCCCCACAGTGTGGTTTAAAGGAAGAATCTTTATTTAGGTTTCTATAGTTTCTATATCACAGAAGTTAAAATGAGATGGGGAATCTGCACTTACTTGATTCACTTCTGTTTCTCTTAAGTCTAAGAAAACTCTGTATTAAGTTTATGTTAAACTTTTCTTTGTCTATAGCTGTGCAATTTAAGTTTATGTTTTTATGTTAATTTAATATTTTTGAATAATTATTTGAAATTAATTTTTTGAATGGTACTATTTTTATTTAAAAGGCTATAGACAAAAAATTTCATATTAATCCATTAACCCCAAATTTAGGTTTATGTTAGTTATTCTCAGCTTTTTTGATTTTAATCACGTGTCTTGGTTCTTTAGTTTTTTTTATTGAAATTGTTCCATATCTATGAAAATGAATTGGTTACTATAAATATTTACTATTGTGTATCTCTTGTTTTCATTAGAAGTCACATAAATATCAACTATAATCAAATAGTTCATAGAAAAAAAGAACATATTTTTTTTTAATCCAGTATTTGAAGAACTGGATTAAAAACCAATGCCTCAGAATGTCAGAGTGATTAAAGTAAACGAAAGTGAATAAAAATATATTGGCAAAAAATCCTTTTCCTGACACGAAAATGTTCTATCCAGTGCCATTTATCCTATTATGATCAATCTAGCAACCTCCTGCACCTTGAGGAGGTGAATCTCCCCCATTTACTTTTAAATTATATTTTCTAATCTAAAAAAAAAAAATCTAGGTAAATGTGGAGAGCGTTTGGTGGAACAGAAGTAGTGAATGGTGCTCCCCCCGCCCCATTCTAGTCAACTAGTTAGACTGATTCCTGAAGGGATAATTTTGGTTGGTAAGCAACAAAGGCATTTTTGGGGAAGAAAATAAAACCATAAGTAAATCTATGTGTAGACCCTACCTGTTGACATCTTTGTTTTTTAACAGGCTACAAATTGTGAGTAAACTGTATGGAGAGTGGTGTGGGGACCTGCAACACAGTTTTGCGGCTGAGTGCCTGGCTTCTTTAGAATTAGTCTGCTCATAGGAAATGTCTATGCCCTTTCTTAGCTCCTGTCAGCTACTCCTCTTTAATTGTCTTTTAAAAATCAGATTTAATTTACGTGAGGTTTTAATGCATATAAATTTTAAAACCAATGCATCCAGAAAACAGGTGATGTAGTGACCTATCTTAACCAGCTTGAAGCCCCCAAAGACTAGGCCTTTTCAGTTCTTAAAAAATTTTTTATTCTTCAACCTTATTAGCTTGGAAGTTGGACTTTTCATTTGGTTGAGTTTATTATTAGTGTTCCTTAACTAACCTCTCTTATCGCTGGGAGAAATGGAAAGCACCTGGAGTGTAATCTGTTGTAATTCAGCAAGCCCTGCTCTTTGTTCCCCATCACTGCACTTGGCACTCCAGAGAAGTGTAGTCGTGTGCTTGCTGTATTAACTCTTGAGCTCTATTGTCCTTCCTCACATTAATTTCATCAAACAGTAGTGTGCCAAGCACTGTGCCATGTCTTGGGGGATACAGAGATGAAAAAGACTACCTTTTAAGAAGCTCAGAATCTAGGACTGTGTTTAGGTGAACACACACCTGCCTTTGCGATTTAGGTACAGGCTTTATTCTGTTGAAAGTAGATGGAATTGGTTGCTGCTGCTTTGGGTAACATGCAGTAGGACATAGCAGATCAGATGACACCTGATTATGGTATTTGAGTGATTTTATTAGTGCTACCTGGGCCCAATCCTCAGGGATATTGAGATGCAGGTGGGTATCATGACTGAAAAAGTCTGTAGTGCTTGCCCCTTAGTTCCTGTTGCCCTATAGGTGACACTTGGTGGTTTTCTTTATTTCCCTCTATCTTACAAAACCTGATTGCTTTTTCTCTTTAGGGGAAGCTGCCTACGCGGATCACAGTTCCACTCTCTGTGATTAGCCAGCCAATGAAGGGCAAGAGTGTGGTCACAGCCCCCATCATCAAAGGCAACCTTGGAGCCAAGTGAGTGCTGTGTTGTAGTGAAGGAACCAATTTGGGGGGTGGAGGTGGCAGACAGGGCATAAGTATCAGGCTTTGTCACAGAATGGGAATGTGGCTGTTCTTTCAGGTGTGGTCTTTCTGGGGTCCCCCTTTGATCTCTTTCCTTCATTGTGTCCATCAACATCATTTATAGAACACCTAGTACTATTTTAGGTGCGGTGATTAAAACAGGCAAAAATCCATGCTGTCTCCAAGCTTACATTGTAGAACAGGGAGAGGAATAATTAAAAAGCATTATACTATATTGGGCAGTGATGTGTACTGAGGAGACTAGCAAGGAAGGGGTGGGAGGTGCTGGGGTGGGGCTTAGGTGAATGTGATGCAAGCCTCCTTTTGACATTTGAGCTTTAAACCTAAAACAGTTCAAAGGATAAGGGTCACCTGGTGCTCTGGCCTAAACAGGGATAAAGAGTACGATGAAATCAGTCTAGTGTCTCAAGACAGCTTGTGTGATGAGGCTATTGTGGTAAGGTTTCTTGCCAGGAGCACATACTTCTGGGGCCCTGTCCATTACTCCCACTGGTCAGGGCACAGAGCCTAGGGCATCAGGGCACTGGGTGCTTCTGGGTTTGCTCTTTTCTTCTGCCATGGGAAGTATAGAAGCCAGAAGAAAGGTGGTCTCAGCAGCTGGTTTCCATTTTAATCCAGAATGCTGGGATTTTCACTGGCACTAGACTTCCTTGTTGTCCTTCAATGTGCGGCCTAGATGTGGGTCAGAGAGAATATCCCATGATAGTGTTATACCTTCTCTTACTTTCCCTCCACAGCCTCAGTGGGTTGGGTCGTAATATCATCCTCACGACCATGCCAGCGGGTACTAAACTCATTGCTGGCAATAAGCCTGTTAGTTTCCTCACTGCCCAGCAGTTGCAGCAACTTCAGCAGCAAGGCCAGGCCACACAGGTAAGGTCCAAGGCACTGTCGGCCATATCAGGCTCCTGTCTTATTCCTTTGCTGTTCTTAACTGATGAGCCCACTTGCAATCCACTGACCAGATCTTCTCTCTTTGCAAACAGGTGCGCATCCAGACTGTTCCTGCATCCCACCTCCAACAGGGAACAGCTTCTGGTTCCTCCAAAGCAGTCTCTACTGTTGTTGTGACCACAGCTCCATCTCCTAAACAGGCACCTGAGCAACAGTGACTATGAGCAAGAGATGGCTTCCATAAAAGACCATACCTGATCTGTCCTGGCTGAAAGCAAGGGAACAGGGAACTCGCATCCTTCCTCTAAGCTTGTCTGTCCAAGGCAGTCGGGAGGAGGATGATGGCAACAGTGACCTGGATTCTGCTGCCATGCTCCACAGTGGAGCACCCTGAGAAAGGTTCACTACAGGGTTCCAAGGTTTGCACTGTACCAGTCCAGGAGAAGATTCTGTTGGAATTGGGGAAGGTCACAGTTATGTCATACAAGCCAGGGTTCTCTTCTGAGAATAAGACACACAGGGAGGGCTTACCAGTTGCAGAGTACACAGCAAATAAGCCTTGTTCTGTATGAGGGTTGTATTTTTCAGGTCCCGGTCTTCTCCATGACTAGTGGTCTGGATAGGAGTTTTGTGTCCAGAAAATTTTATGTAACTTATTTTTTTAAAAACCTATCATACGTCTTTATCAAATAGAAATGGGTGTTAGCCCCTACACCAAACTAATTACTTATTCTTTTGACTAGAATGAGAGAGTTGCAAGAATCTTAGTAAGTTGGGGGCTGACTTGATACCACATAGTAATCAAGGGTCTGTAAGGTGGGAAAAACAGACAAAGTAAAGTGGTGTGGATTTCTTGACGTGGGTTGGTTTGGTACTACTTTTTAAGATGGAGTGTTGGGATCTATTTGTACTTGTCCACTTTTTGCTTGGCAAACCTGCTCACACTTGGAAGTCCAGAGCCAGAGGACAGAGCAGGAGAATGAGAGTGGAAATGGTGCTTTTGCAGCACAGACTTTGTTACAGTTCGGAGTTTACGTTCTGCTGTGCTCCAGAGCAAGAGTCACAAACCAGGCCCTTAGGACTGGCTGCATGTTTTTGTAAATAAAGTTGTTTCGAAACACAGCCCACATCCATTTGTTTATGTATTATCTGTGACTGCTTCTGGGTTAGCAGGCTGAACTGACAGCCTAAACTGTCTCTTACATGACAATTTTGTTGACTCCTGCTCCAGAGTAAAGTTGGTAGGAGGAAAATGAGGTGCAGAGGGGTCTGCCTGGCAGTACCAACCCCAAAAGAGGTCAGTCTGGATTTGCAAGTCTTTTAATCCTGGCTTTTTCACACTTCTCATCCTCCATCAGCTAGAGGCTGAGATCAGAATGATATTTTTAAATGTAATATGGAATTAAAGCACTGGTTGTTAACATATGCTTCTCTTGTCTTGGGGCTGGGTGGGTAGAGGTAAAGCTTTTCTGCAGTGATAGGGATTCCAGGTCTCTTGAGAGTATCTCAATTATTAAAGATTTTATCTCCTACCTTGTATTTTTAATCTGTGGAAATGTGATGATCTGTGGGGCCTGGGTGAAGAAGTGGAGCTGTTCTTGTCTCCTGGTGGGAAGTAGAACTAGAAGACGTGGGATAGAGATGGCCTGGTGTAGATGTTGGGAGGTTAGGCGGATGGCAGGGGAGTGGAGAAGGGGCTGAGGACTTGCTGGCTACACAGTGGTTTTATAGACAGTGCATTTGATTCTTAGAGAAATTCTGTAAAATGGATGTCATCATTCTCCTTTTAATGGTGGTAAGATGTGAGTCTGCGTTAAGGTTAAAGAGAACTAAGAGGTAAATGCGGTTTTCACTTTTTTTTTGAGTTGGAGTCATACTCTGTCACCCAGGCCGAAATGTAGTGGTACCCTCAACGGCCACCCCAGTGTCGACCTGCTAAGCTCCTGCAGTCCTTCCGCCTCAGTCTTCCAAGTAGCCTTCCAAGGTGCATGCTACCACACCCGGCTAATTTTTTCTTTAAATTATTGTAGAGACGGGGTCTCGTCAAGTTGCCTGGGCTGGTTCAAACCTGTGGGCTCAGGCAGTCCACTCGCCTTGGCCTCCCAAAGTGCTGGGATTATAGGCTGAGCCACTGAGCTCGACCCAGTCTTCACATTTTAAGTCACTCCCCTTTCTGTTGCCTTCCTTTGGGTACAGTGGCTGTGACATGTCTCGGCAAACCTCAGGGACAATCCAGACTTAGGAATTGGGAAGCCTGGATTACAGAGAGCAGAGGTGAGGAGGGTAAGCTAAGGTTGAGCTTGTCATGGGCGAGTAGGGGTCTGGTGCAGAAGTGAGACTGGTAACAGAGACAGGATTGCAGTCAGGGAAATGGGTGAAAAACCCTTCACCTGCGGGAAGGAGGGTGCATCTGTGTTTTGTAGTACTTGGATATTTGCACATCTTGGTTATTTCCAAGAGTCATATTTCACATAGAAAGTCTTGTGACAGTTGCTAAATGGGAAAAAGGTAGACATTTTTAGAGATCTTGTTTTAGGTATTTACTGCTGGCTGAAAACAAATGCCTTCTGGGTTTACTTAAGTGATTTCTTGGAAGTAGCTCTAGCATTCAGCCCCAGCCCTGCCCACACTGTTACTTACTGAAGTCACCTGACTCTGCCCGTCTCCTTTGTGCATGCAGACATGCACATCCTGGAGTGCAAGGCTGTAGATAAAAAGAGTAGGTCTGTTTCAGGATGCCAATGTGGGGTTGACTCCCCAGGAAGTGTAATCTTGGCACTGTCCACTAGAACAGTGTAGACTGGAAACTGTTGCAGTTGTTCATGGTGACAGCACCAGAATTTGCACTGCATATGCTTCCTCTGTATCCTGATTCAGGAGTCTCCTGGAGATGGATGTGGCAGCTTTGGTGGGTGTTTTTCAGGAAACAAGTCCGGAAGGACTTCCGGTGGCAGCCATTGAGCCCCTGAGCCTCTGGTTGATAGAGGTTGGTAAAATTCAGACAACATTATCTCAGACAGTATTTGGAGAATAGTACTGTGATTGGTTTATTCTTCAATACCACTTCTAAGAATGTTTATGCTAGGATTAATCACTTCCATGAAGATATCACAGACCGTGCTGTGTGAAGGGCATCCAAATACATTTTAATATTTTATATCTGATTTTTACATCTCAGCCTCTCCCTCTGGAGAAAATGCAGCATTTCATTAAAATATTCTGCTCTTTAAAAAAATCTCAAATGTGGATTTTTATTTTAATGAAAGTGAGGTAGCAAATAGGTTCTGTCTTCCTACCTCCATCCCTAAGGAAAGAACACATTTTATGTTAATTACCAATAATAGGGTCTCCAGTGCATGTTGAGTGAATTCTTGAGTTTATGCACAGTTGGCAAACCAAGGTGAACCCTGAAAGTGGACCCAGGAGTTCTCAAATTCAGTGTTTTTAGTAGTTCATTTTTAATCCCTACACTGTGATTTCAACTCTGAAAGACTGGTTGTCAATGGAAGGTTACCTTTTACTTAAAGTACAGTGTTTTTTCTAAAGTGCGTGCAGTGCCTTATATAAATTCTCTCTACGGATTTGTGTGACATAGCAGGGTAGAACAGTGAGAAAGATCCCCTTTTGAGTCATACTGAAGACTGGGTTTACCTCTTGGTAGCTGTGTGACCTTAGGCCAACCACCATTTCTTCAGGACCGCATGCCACATTACAGGTGGTTATGAGACCCAGAGGAGATAGCACGCATCTCAGAATCCAAAAATACTGTGCAAGTGAAAGGTATTATTTGATCTCTAAGGCACTTCAACTTTGTCCTAACCTGCTTTTATCAGTTTGTAGAACTTAATAGATTTAACTGTTTTCCCATGCTTTCACTACCTTTGTTTGATATATTTAACACTGTTCTTGTGTGCTTTCACTGCCTTTGTACATGCCACTCTCTTTGCCTGGAATGTGCTTTGCTTATAGGGCCAGATCCCCTTTCTTCTCCCCTCCTTTCTCTCTCATTGTGGTTGTACTCACCTCTCACAGTACCCACCACACTGGATATAACTGCTGGCATGTCTCTCCCATTATACTGTAAACTCCTTGCTGGACACATCCCATTCATCCTTATAGCTATTTCACTGGTGGAATAGAGTAGATGTTTAATAAATATTTGTTGAAGGAAATTTAAAAAAAGAGCTGGATATTGTGGCTCACACCTGTAATCCCAGCACTTTGAGATGCTGAGGTGGGATGATTGCTTGAACCCAGGAGTTTAAGATCAACCTCTGGGCAACATAGACTTTGTCTCTACAAAAAAAATTACAAAAAATAGCTGGACTTGGTGGCACTTGCCTGTAGTCCAACTGTTTGGGTGACTAAGGTGGGACGATCGCTTGAGCCTAGGAGTTGGAAGCTGCAGTGAGCTAGGTTCATGCCACTGCACTCCTGCTTCGGCAACAGCCTGAGACCCTGACTCAAAAAAAGAAAAAAATCCAGAATCAAGATTAGAGTATCAAAACTATATTACTAATTCAGAATTCATGTCCTTTGCTTTCAGCTATATTAAAACTGAAGGCTTTCTATAACCTGATGTTTTTCTCTCTACCTCATTATACAGCTTTCCTGTCAGATCATCTGTTAGGTTAACCAGGAGTCAGAACATCTGAGTTCCAACTCAGCGGGACCACTAACTAGCTTCCTGATTTTTTTAAAAAGTCACCTTTGGCCCAATTTTGTCTTTTACCAACAGTGGTATTGCTGTACTCTGGTATTATTAGTTAGGATATGTTTAACAAGTAATATTTAAAAAATAAAGTTTGAATTTTACTTTTAAAAAATATGAAAGAATTGTAACTTTCTAAAATAAAGGCATTGTCGTTCTCTTACATCCTGATATCTTTCTGATAAGAAAGTACCTGCTTTCTTGAGAAAAACCCGGGGGTAAGTTATCCAAAGCAGTAGGAAGTTTTCCTGCTGGATTCATATCTTGATTCACCCACCAGGCGCTTCCTGTTCTAGAACTTTCAGAGTCTCTGATTGCTCTTTACACTGAGACACAGAGGCTTGTGCTTAAAGGCATTACTTCATTTTTCTTTATAAAGGTTATTGCACCAACACAGACTTTGTGTTTAAAAATCCAAACAGCAAGTTACACAGAACACTGAAGGCCTAATTTCCTGTTTTAGGACCTCCAATCTTGTATTAAAGGAGGAGTTGCAAACGTATAGACCTTAAGAGCAGACCACAGCGAGCATTAAGGTGGAGAGGGCGAACTACATTCACTCTGGCTGTTCAGTGGGCTGTCTCCGCCATCTGCGTGGCCTGCTCATTCCTCATCTGAGCCATTCAAGAGTGCCGTCTGGTAAGTGTGATCTGACTTCAGCTTCTGAATCCCAATGATTTCTCCTCCTCCGCGTCTCCTCATCCGTGTCAGAAAACTAATGAGAAACAATAAGAGCCAGTTAGGCAGAGAAATCTCCCAATTCCTTCACCCAAGAATATAAAGGCATCTACTGGTTCTTAAAGCATTCTCTATATATATTTGTTTAGAGACAGGATCTCTGTTGCCTCGACTGGGGTATAGTGGCACTATCACGGCTCACTACAGCTTTGAACTTCTGGCTCAAATGATCCTCCTCCCTCAGTCTTTCGAGTAGCTGGGACTACAGGATACACCACCATGCCCAGCTAATTTTTAAAATTTTTTTGATGGAGACAAGGTCTCCCTATGTTGTCCAGGCTGATCTCAAACGCCTGGTCTCGAGTGATCCTCCTATATATAAGCACTGGGGTTACAGGTGTGAGCCACTGCACCCAGCTCCATTTTCTTTACATTGCTATCAAACACTGTGCTTACTTGTCCACATATCTGACTTCTTTGGCCGTGATTTATTCACCAGTAGGTAAAGGGACTTGTGGTTAAAATTACTGAATATCACAATTGAGACCAAGGTCTCCTGCCTTCTGGTTCTTGTTTCACTGGCCAGTAGAACTAATGAGATCCTTTCTGTTTTGTCTATGTAGGACTCTTTCTGGGTGAAGTATATCTTGCTTTGGGACTAGGGAAAAGGCCTAGAGAATACTCGTAAAAGGTAGGAGCAGCTCAACAGCAATAACACTAGTAATACCATTTGCTAAAAGACACCGTTGCTCTGTGAGGCTCTGCCGTTTACTACTCATCTTTTTGATGCCTTAGTTTCCCCATCTGTAAAAATGTATTTCATAAAGCTATGAAGATTAAATGGGATAATACAATGTAAATGCTTTCCACAGGGCCAGACATGTGCATAGAAATCATGGTTATTTATATACCTCTAAAGATATATACTCTGGTATATTTTTTAGTTGTCACAGCATTTCTGGAAGTAGGCAGGGCAAGTCCAGAAATAAGATGATGGGTCCAGAAAGAACCAGTGACAGCAGGGACTGCCATCCAGTACTAATTCCCAATTCAGTGTGCTCCTCACATACCACAGGCTTAAGGTCTGTCAGAATCTCATTTGAAACCTGAGTCTCCAGGTTGCTGCTACCCAGACAGGTAACTTCAAAAAGCATTACCCTCATTGTAAATCAGGTTAGTGAAACTTGCCCTATGGATGTTGAGTACTTTGCACAGAATCTGGTGTACAGTTGGCATTCATTGATGGAAGTTAAATGGTGGAAGTTAATCAGATCAGAACTGCTTAGGGGCTAGGAGGAACAATGTCACAACAGTCTTAAACATACCAGTGAACAAGAGAGTAGTTGACAGCCACAATGCAGAGGGCAGCCAGGTAGTGCCAGCTGAAGCACATGGTGATGAACATGAGGTTTGCTTCATCGTTCTGGTCCCATTCAGGTGTACCAAAAGGCGGGAAGAGTACAAATCCAATCTAGGGGGTCATACAGAGAAGGGGCTATTGAGATCAGTTGTCCTGAGAAGAAACCTCACATTGTGGCCACCAAAGTGACCCATAAATTTCCAACCAGCTCACAGTTTCCGCCCTTTTCACATGGGAAATTGCTCTAAGTTACTCTCGGTTTTAGTATATGGGCTTATTTAAAAACAATACAACTTCAGGGTCCACATTTCAAGTGAATGGTGTAGTGTGAGGAGCCTGTAAAATGGATCAGTCCATCCATGGGGGATGACCGCTTGGGAAATATTTGATCTTCATATTTTGTAGATTTTTGCTTATTAATGCATCAGCAGGTTATTAATAAATAAAATTGTGGAGGTAAAGGGGTGGGAGCGTGGAGAACAGAGCCATCTAGACTCGTTCCCACACATGTCAGTGCTGCATTTTCAGGTACATGCTCTTGTTGGGACTTCTCTTGGGCATACTCAGTGGGGCTCCTCAGTCCAAACCACACAAGGGGCCTTATGTGAATAATTACCTGCCAGAACCAGGTTCCCTGGAGAATAACGAGACTGGTTCGAAAAAGTTCCAACACAATATTGTCCCGAAAGATCACCTCCAGGAAGATACTGACACACCCTCCAAACAGAGCAAACAGCAGGAATGAGTGGATGTGCTGGTCCAGGGGAGGCCTGTTGTGGACGTGGTAGTAGAAGAGGAAACCTGCCACAGACCAGATGTCAACCATCAGAGATCTGCAATTATCACTGGGATTTCCTCCTACACCTGTCTCAAAGCTGGATTTTCCAGCATTTACATAACTTTACAGGGCAACAGATATGCATGGGTATGTTAAAGAGTTTTAGCAGCAAAGGGCGTATCTCTTTACAGAACCCATGGTAGGGTCAATACAGGATGCATAGGTGAAACGTTGCTGATTTCTTAACAGATTGTGTGTATACTTGAAATTCGGGTTTGCCCTCATTCAATCGTTTTAAACTGAGGTACAGAAGTCAGTGAGATTGTTGGATTACAAAATGTGTTTTCGTACCCCAGTTAATGGGAGTCATATTGGTTAAAGCTTTCCTCACGGCTGGGTCTCCTGAGATTTGTGATGGAAGCAAGATAGGGACTTCTTTGGTGAGGGGTGGAGTGCAGAGTTTCTCTTACTTGACCAAAGGAATGTATCACCCTGCGTGGTGGCATTCTACCAGTTGGGATATTTTGTATGTATGCATGTGTGTGCCCCCGTGGCAGTGGGAAGGTGAGGGAGGGGGTCTGTAGTGTCAATCAGAGGCCTTGAGAACCATCTGAAAGCCTCTGGCTTTGGTGGACTGCTCTATGGAATTATATCGTCTGGACCTCCCAGAGCATAGGACTAAGTCTTTTTTTTTTTTGAGTTGGAGTCTCACTCTTTGTCGCCCAGGCTGGAGTGCAGTGGCCACCGCAGCTTCGTCCTGCTGAGTTTAGGCGATCCTTCTGCCTCAGCCTTTCAAGTAGCTGGAACTACAGATGCATGCCATCATGCCTGGCTAGTTTTTGTGATTTATTGTAGAGACGAGGTCTCACCAAGTTGTCCAGACTGGTCCTGAAGCCCTAGGCTCAGGCAATCTTCTCACCTCGGCCTCCCAAAGTGCTGGGATTACAGGCTGAGCCACCACACCCGGCCAGGACTAAGTCTTATTCGGGTTTTGGGAGTCCAGAGTTGTGGATCTTCTGGGGAAGCTTATTATATTTACAACATTTCTGGTCTTTTGTACTCTGATCCCTCATAAATATAGTTGTTTGGCTCCCTTTCCTCTTTTCCATCTGTTCCACAAAATTACCTTCGACGAATACTGCCATAGCCATAACCAGTCTGTCCACCCCCAAGGGAACGTGCGTGACCAGATAGGTGAGCATATCAACAAGTCCTGAGACACCAAAGAAGAGGTACATGGTGCTGTGCTGCCAATTCATTAACTTCACCCAGTGGTTTTCATGGTAGAGGTGGAGGTGGGGCCCGTCTGGAACAAACTGTTCTGCGAGGATTCCTGCAGGGAAATGAGTGGAAATTAGCGGGAAGGACAGCTCCAAGACAAATAGGACAGCGAGAAGTAACCCAAAGGCCTGAATGAAGTCAAGATAGGGTTGATGGTGGCCTATCGATCGGTAGACCTATTTTGCAGCCTTGAGTGCAGCTTCTTCAGTAAAATTATATGTTTGGTGAATAATCTGTGTGGACATCTTTCGTTTTTTCTTTTAGGTGTTTGGGGTTGGGGAAAGAAGCAGCAACAAACACAGCCGCACACAGGACCCCAGGAAATTTGTCTAGGAGCGGAGATGAAAGCAAGGCTTCATTACTTAAATGAGAGCATGGCTGATACACTAATCTTTGGGTTCCCCTGCCAAGTGAGCTGTGAAAGAAATCCCAGACAGAGGCTCACGTCTGTAATCCCAGCACTTTGAGAGGCTGAGTGAGGTGGGAGGCTTGCTTGAGGCCAGGAGTTTGTGACCAGCCTGGGCAACATAGTGAAACCCCGTCTACAAAAAAATAGACTTAGCTGGGTGTGGTAGTACATGCCTGTAGTCCCTACTTGGCTACTTGGGAGGTTTAGGAGGAAGGACCTCTTGAGCCCAGTAGTTTGAGGTAGCAGTGAACTATGATGGTGCCATTGCATTCCAGCCTGGGCTACAGCGTAAGACCCTGACTCAAAAAAAGAACAAAAGGGGTGGGGGGGAGAAGGGGAAGGAAAGAGGAGGGCGGAGAGAGAGAGAGAGAAGGAAAGAAATCCCAGACAGGAAAAAAAATTAGGTTCAAAATAGAATCTGGGTAATGAAGGTACCTATACCTACCCAAGAAAGAGAAGTAGCTTCCAGGTGTGTGTCTGCAGGGCTGACTTCAAGTGAGTCCCCTTCCCAGGCACTGTTTTAAAGTGTGTTTTAAAACACTGGGAAGCCAGCTGGAGGTCCATGATGGGGACCAGAAAATTGATGAAGTTGCATTACAAGGTAGCTCTTAGTTCTTACTTTTTCTACTTTTATCACCTAATTGGGGAGGCAGAAGATTTGTCTTTATGCCTGGTGCCCAAAATGTCTTTAGGGAAGCTTAGAAGAAATTCTTCATGACAACAATCTGGACCCTGTTCCTCAAACATATGTATATCAAACCAGCCCCTTCATACAGTATGTGTTCTGTTCCTACAACTTCCTACAACTTTCCTTGTAAGGAAAAGAATGTAGTTTATGTGACAGGTTTTCATAACCCCAAGGTAATATAAATAGATGTTACGTTAAGGCAGTCTAGTAGCCAACTGGAAATTCTTGTCCTGTTATTTGCCAGTGGAGACATGTATTTCATAGGCTCAGAAAATGGATGAAAAGTTCTGGGTATGTTGCAGAGATTGTCTAGACCAAATGGCCTTTGCTCTTACCAATGACCGAAAACAAAGTCCTGATTGCGGCTTCAATGATCTCAAGACGCTCATACTGATGCTGTCGGCTGCTCTTCCGCTTTTGGTGAAAGTACTTCCACGGGTACTTCACTGACCACCACAGTCCAACTATCAAGAAGAAACTCCCTGGGAGTGCATGGCCCTTGAAGTTCGCCATCAGGGCCCCAGGTCACCTAATAAATTGGGAGACAGATGTTAGGTGGCTGAAAGAAGAAAGCATATGTATGTATATTTTGGCAGGAAACACAACACATGCTTGAGGACTCCAAATCATAGGCCACATTAAAAAAGATCAACTCATTTTCAAAAAACAAGCCTTTAAGTGATGTCACTGAACTCTCATCTGTTAAGTGATTTACATGACCAAGAGAACTCCCCTAGCTGTAAGGGTTTTAAAATGTGGGTAAAATAAAAGAACCTTAGTTGGGGAAGTCGGGAGTGAATAGATATTTATTAATCTCAGTGTAGAGATCCATAACATAAACATAAAGAAGGGAACTAGATAAATATCCAATGACATAAGCATTTTTTTAATATCAAAACATCAAAAGATAAACAAATCAGAAAAATGTTTGTAGCCACTATGTGGTAAGTGGTCATTACATTAGAGAGCCTCTACAAAGTAATCAGGAAAGATCATAGAAGAACGGTAGAAGACATGAGCAAATGCTTCACAGAATAGTACAAATGCATAATAAATCTTTCTGTAATTAGAGATGTACAAATGAAAGCACAATATTGTTCATCTAATTTGAAAATAAGAGTTTTGGTGCTCCATTCTAGTACAAATGAATGTGGTCAATATGAATAAAATTTTGTAAAAATCATAGTTAGATAATCATTAACTTAATCTGAAAAATATCAGGCATGATTTGGTTTTATCCCATTTACAGTAGTATGAAGCTATAGCTAGGATTTTTTCAGAAGAAAATAATTGTTTTTCCCTGGGCCTGAGTGGTTTCCTAAAGAATATGTAACGTGGGAGAAAAATAGCAGTTTTGGTGAATGCTATGATTTGAATGTATTCCCTCCAAAATTCAGGTGTTACAATATGACAGTATTAAGAGGGGTCCTTAAAGAGGTGATTAGGCCACAAGGATGCCTTCCTCCTAAATAGAATTAGGTACCAGCATAAGGGGGCTTAATGGAGGGAGTTTGTTTCCATTTTTGTCCTTCCACTGTGTGAGACTGCAGCCCTTACCAGACACCAGATCCCAATGCCTTGATCTTGGACTTGCAGTGAGAAATAAGTTTCTGTTCTATACAAATTACCCAGTCTGTGGTATTCTGTGATAGTGCAAAATGGACTGAGACAGAAAGTGGTACCAGAGAAGTAAGATGTTGTTATAACAAACACCTGAAGACGTGTAAGTGGCTTTGGAATTAGGTAATGAGTAGAGGCTAGAACGGTTTTGAAGTGAATGCTGGGAAAAGTTTTTATTGCCGTGAACAGAGCATTAAGGGTGATTCTGGTGAGGGCTCAAAAAAGGAGCGCTCTAGGGAAAGCCGCCTCCTTAGAGATTGCCTACATGGTCATGAACAGAATGCTGGTGGAAGTACAGACAGTGAAGATAATCTTGACATCTCAGCCAGCAATAAAGAACTAGGTATTGGAAACTGGAAGAAAGGCTACCCTCATTTTTTGTTTGGATTTTTGTATTTTAGATGTACAAGATTAATGTTGTTTTCATATCCTTATAATAAAGTGGTAAATAACTTAGCTAAATTATGTCTGTGTTCTAGGACTTTATGGAAGGCAAAACTTAAAATAGATGGGCTAGGATATTTGGCAGAAGAAATCTCAGCAGCAAAGTGTTCAGGATGCTGTATATCTTCTTTTAACTGCATGTAGTAAGATGTGAGAAAAGTGACTTGAAGGTGGAATTTATTATCAAAAGGGAAGCAGAATGTAAAGGTTTGGAAAATTCTCAGCCTGGCCATGTAAAAGATTAAAAAGCATTGTTTAGGAGAGAAAACCAAGACTATGGCCAGTGACTGTTTAACAAGGAGATTAGTAATCATAGAAGGAAGCCAGATGCTATTCATCAAGACTGGGAGAATGATCCAAAAGGCATTTCAGAGATCTTTGGGGCTTCCATATTCATCATAGGCCCAGAGAGCTTGGGTCTTGAGGGCAGAGTGGTTTTAGGAGGAGGGCTCAGGTACTGTGGGACCTCAAGGTTTACTGCTTAGGACCACCTCGGGTCTCTGCTGCCTGCATTCCAGAATAGTTCTCCTGAGTTGCCCCAGCTATGGCTCAAATGGGCTGCCATTCCAGAGGTGGCATCCATGTGGTGGCATCCATGTGGTGCTAATTCTGCAGGTGCACAGAGTGTGTGAGCTGTGGGGGCATGGCTTCCTCCACTTGGATTTTAAGGGATGTCTCAGAGAGCCTCAGGCCCAAAACAGACTTGTCACAGGGGCGGAGCCACTGCAGACACTGCAGTGCAATGCAGTGAGTAGGGCAATGCTTAGTGACCCCAAGGGGTGATCTAGAACCTTGGGGCCCAACCCTCATCCCAGTGTGTCCAGAAGGTGGGACCTGGAGTCAAAGTAAGTTATTCGCAAACCTTAAGATCTATTGTTGTTTGTCCTGTTGGGTTTTGAACCCGAGACCTGTTATTTCTTTCTTTTTTCCTGTTTCTCCCTTTTGGAATAGAAATATCTGTCTTGTGCCTGTCCCACCACTGTATTTTGGAAGCACAAAACTTGTTTGTTATCATTGGGTTTACACCTGGAGAGAAATTTGCCTCAGGATGAAATTTGCCTCAAGGGGAATGAGCCTCTCACTTTTATCTGATTTAGATGAGACTTTGGACTTAGACTTTAAAGTTCATGTTGGAATGAGTTGAGACTTTTGGGGGCTATTGTGATGGAATGAATGTATTTTGCATGTGAAAAGAACATGAACTTTGGGGGGATCATAGCTATGATTTGAAGGTGTCCCCCCAAAATTCAGGTGTTGCCAGTGTAATAGGTGGGTAGGTTAAGAGGTGGGTTTTTTGTTTTGTTTTGTTTTGTTTTTGAGTCAGGGTTATTGCCCAGACTGGAATGCAATAGCACAATCACTGCTCACCACAGATTAAATCTCCTGGACTCAAGTGATACTTCCACCTTAGCCTCCCGAGTAGTTGGAACTATAGGCATGTTCTACCATGCCTTGCTTATTTTTTATTTTTGTAGAAACAAGGTCTCACTATGTTGCCTAGGCTGGTCATGAACTCCAGTCCTTTTGCTTCAACCTCCCAAAGTTCTGGGATTATAGGTGTGAGCCACCATACCCAACCTAGGATGTGAGGCCTTTGAGAGGTGATTTGGCCATGAATGTTCCTCTCTTGTGGAGGGATTGGGTGCCCTTACAAAGGGTTTGATGAAGTGAGTCGGTCCCCTTTTTTGCCCTTTCTTCTTGTCATGTGAAGATGCAGTCCTCACCAGACCACAGATGCCAGTGCCTTGATCATGGACTTACCAGCCTTTCGAATGGTAAAAAACAACAGCAGCATTTTTTTCTTCTTTTAAAATTACCCAGTTTGCTTATTAGTTCTTGGTGCTAATTTTGCTATAGCACAAAATAGACTAAGACAATGATCTAGAAAAGACCACCTAGAAACATAAGGTGCTTATGATTTGCATAGCCTATTCCAGCCCTGGCCATGTTCCTACCCGCCTATCACTGGCTAGATTGTCAGGGTTGTTTCACATCTTACACATTGACAATTGAGGATCCTACTCTTCACTGGAGAATTTTCACAAGCTTTTAAAAAATGCTAATATTTTTCAAAAAGTCCAATTGTATTAAAGGCTTATAATGAAAAACAACAGTACCCTGCCCCATCCCTCCTCACCTCTTTGTAAAGCCGCTTTCAACTCTTTCAGCTGTTTCCTTTGTTATTTACTTTCATAATTCTAGTTAGTTTGTGCATGCTGACATCTGTTAATTTATTACTGTCAGGCATTATCTACCCACTTCCTGGAGCTCGCTCTCAACCTCCCCCTCCTATCCACCCTTTTATTTTCATAGTAGTTACATTATACTCATTTGCTTACATCATTAGTTTCATTATTATGACTCTGTAAATCCCAAACCCTCTAGGATCTAATCCTAGGCTATCTCCTAATCTCTCCCAGCAATCTCCCCCTGCCGCACTGGATCCCTTCTATTCCTTTAAACAGTTAAGTACAGTCCATTCTTGTGTCAGGACCTTGCACTGTCTGTTCTTTATGGAATGATCTTCCCACAGAATGGCTTTTCTCTTTCACTTTACTTAAATCTCTGTTCAAATGTTACTTTATTCCCTGACTTCTTTATGTAAAATAGCAGTCCTGCTCCACTTTTTAATCTGTGTAGACTTGTAAATTATCTTTATGAATCACTGTCTGAGACCACAGACTAATTTTTTAAAGTGACTATCTCTATCCACTAAAACATAGAACCCTTGAAAGCAGGGAGTTGACCTATTTTGTTATCACAGTTAGTTAAGAGCTTTCAGCAGGACTAGACACATAGTGAGAACTCAATAAATATTTGTGGGACAAATGAATGCTGGTCCAAGTAGTGCATTATAGGTATGTTTTCTTCAATATTTTTGTTTTATTCTTGAATTAATAATTGCCTTTTTATTTATGTGTGTGTGCATGTATATAAAACAGAGGTGCCAACAAAAGTATACACATTTTAAGTATGATGTTTGTACAAAAGATGGTGTTAATCAAATGAATGCTAGTGTCACCAAGTGACAGGCAGGATAGTAAAAGAAAATGGCAGAAGCATGGTTGAGAGAACGTCATGTTACACATTACTACCATAATTCAATTCAACTTCAAAAATTAATACATAGAGAACATCACATAAAATGTGTGTACATCTTTTTGGCACCTCCCGTGTGTGTATGTGTATATATGTGTGTGTGTATGTTCATATATATACACACATATGTGTATATGTGTGTGTATACATATATGCACACATACATGTGTATAAATGTGTTTTTCCACAAAAGAGCTGACAGATCTGTCAAATGTCAACCAAATTAAATTCTAGATATTTTCACACCAGGTAACTTATCAGTTCTGTTTTATTCCCAGCAACCTCTTTTGCAGAGCTTTCCCCCATCCTACTCCAACATTGAACCAGTTGTCTGTCGTCCTGGAGCACTAGGCACCATATTTCTC